CCCCCCCCCCCCGCCATTAGCATCACTCACTGAGCAAGAACCCCATTGGGTTTTGCGAAGGGGCTTGGTGACCTCCAAGGAACTAAGCCTAACAGGCATATTTCAGTCCTCATGATGCTTGAATTTTCAGCATAAACGGGCACGATCTTTGGTTTCCATGGCACCATATTCTTTTGTTTTTCCCCCTACCTTTCTGACTGCTCCACAGCCCTCGGCGGGCTCACCATCTTCTACCCAGCTTCTTACGTGGCACTCCTGAAGGCTTGCTTCTGGACTCCTTCCTTTTCACTGCACGTGTCCACAGCAGGCCCTCTCAACTACCTGTGATGACCTCCTACGTACCAATGGTTCTCACAATGGCGTCTCCTTCTGAGTGTCAGGTTATGTCTAAATGCATGGATGTCTCACAAGTCCGTCTGATTCAGCTTCTCCAAACTGAACTGTAGTCCTCCAGCCCTGGCCCACCATCAGCGCTCCCTCTCCTGGTGACTGGTTATCAAAGAACTGGTGACCAGCCATATTCTACACAACTAGGCAAACCAGAAATCTGGGACTCCTCCTTGGACCCGCCCTCATTCTGACACCCCCAAGCTCTTCCTAGCAGGTTTCCTGCTCAGCGTCCCTTGGATTCATCCTCTTCTCTCCTCTCTGGGTTGCTAATACCTAATCTCTTCTGAATGGCTGCAGTGCTGCCCATGCAGGGACCCTATATGTACCTTTACCTCCTTTTGGATTCTCTATACTGACGGCCAAGTGGAGGTTATGAAATGCAATCGTTTTTCTTTTATTTTAAATTGAAGTATAGTTGATAAGACAATATTATATTGGTTTCAGGTATACAACACAGTGATTCTATAATTCTCTACATTATTAACTGCTCACCATGATACGTGTAGTTACCATCTATCAATCATATTTTTACTTAACATTTCCAGTTACTTTCCATCGCTCTTGAAACAGTCATCCCAGCCCGGTGGGGTTTGCCTGCCGTTCACCTGTTCAGTGATCTCAGCACATCAGCGCACTGACCGTCTTTCAGTTCCTCCGAGCACCATGCTCCCTCCCATGTCAGGGCCTTTGCACAGGCTAATCTTCCTGCTTACCCTTCCTCTTTTGCATAGTTATCTCCCATTCCTCCTTTGGAGCTCATCTGAAATATCACTTCCTCGGAGAGCTTTCTCTCACACCACAGATGAGATGGAGTTCCTGGCAGTATGCTATTTTTAGCTTTTGGTGGCTTTTTTTTTTTCATAGACTTTATCACAGTTGTTAATTACATATTTATTTAATCATTCAATTAATGTCTCATCTGCCCTGTTAGTCTGTGAGCCTCGTGAGGGCGGGGTCTGTCTCTGTCTTGATATGCTCTCTTCTTTCTTGACGTCTGCCCGTTCTGCTGCACAGTATGGAGCATTCTTCCTCCCTCCCCACTGTGAATTCACCTGGTGAACTTCTTTTTCCCCTCAAGTTTCAGCACAGACATTCGGTGTTCCCTGCCCTGCCCCTCCTAAGGCTAGATGTGGTGTCCCTCTTGTGTGACTTCACAGCACCCCTACATTCATTTGCCATGTTGCATTTATCACACTGTGTTGTAGTTGTTTATTTACTTGTCTCTCTTTTCCGGGAGACTCTAAACACCCGGAAGACCGGGGCTGTGTCTTGTCTGTCATTCATTCCCCAATGCCTGATATATTACTTAAGACACAGTAGGCATTCAGTTGCTCAACAAGTGAATGAACGAGTGAGTGAATGAAAGTCAGGTAATGGTATAAGCAAGAGCTTTGAAAAAGTTAAGCACACCATAAAATGTATCATTTTAGTCACAAAGAACAAGACATGGACACCTGAAGGCCACCAATCTCTATAAAACATGAAGGAGTGGAGGACACGAGGTACCAGTGGGTCACAGCGCACACAGTGAGGGCTCTCGCTCCCAAGCAAAGATTGATGTCCACAGAGACACACCGCCCAGAGGCGAGCGGCACAGCCTCCCAGCTCCATTTTCCTCTTTTCCATCATTTTTATGGTTACCACTTGCCATGCTTCAGGGTTAAGAAAAGGAGTGAGTTTTGGGGTTAGTGTCCAAAGTTATGAATACTAAATACAAGTCATAAATAGAAAAACTTGCCTTCTTCCTCTTCACTCTTTGTTTACTTTTCCTTTTTTGGCTTCTGTACTAGAGGTAGATGTCGCGTCTGGCATTTTGACACAGACCTTGGGTGGAAGAGCAAATCTGTGTTCTCATTTTCCACGCATTGCTCCACCCACGCCCACCTGGCTCCCACGGCCAACCCCCCCCCCCCCCCCATTAGCATCACTCACTGAGCAAGAACCCCATTGGGTTTTGCGAAGGGGCTTGGTGACCTCCAAGGAACTAAGCCTAACAGGCATATTTCAGTCCTCATGATGCTTGAATTTTCAGCATAAACGGGCACGATCTTTGGTTTCCATGGCACCATATTCTTTTGTTTTTCCCCCTACCTTTCTGACTGCTCCACAGCCCTCGGCGGGCTCACCATCTTCTACCCAGCTTCTTACGTGGCACTCCTGAAGGCTTGCTTCTGGACTCCTTCCTTTTCACTGCACGTGTCCACAGCAGGCCCTCTCAACTACCTGTGATGACCTCCTACGTACCAATGGTTCTCACAATGGCGTCTCCTTCTGAGTGTCAGGTTATGTCTAAATGCATGGATGTCTCACAAGTCCGTCTGATTCAGCTTCTCCAAACTGAACTGTAGTCCTCCAGCCCTGGCCCACCATCAGCGCTCCCTCTCCTGGTGACTGGTTATCAAAGAACTGGTGACCAGCCATATTCTACACAACTAGGCAAACCAGAAATCTGGGACTCCTCCTTGGACCCGCCCTCATTCTGACACCCCCAAGCTCTTCCTAGCAGGTTTCCTGCTCAGCGTCCCTTGGATTCATCCTCTTCTCTCCTCTCTGGGTTGCTAATACCTAATCTCTTCTGAATGGCTGCAGTGCTGCCCATGCAGGGACCCTATATGTACCTTTACCTCCTTTTGGATTCTCTATACTGACGGCCAAGTGGTGGTTATGAAATGCAATCGTTTTTCTTTTATTTTAAATTGAAGTATAGTTGATAAGACAATATTATATTGGTTTCAGGTATACAACACAGTGATTCTATAATTCTCTACATTATTAACTGCTCACCATGATACGTGTAGTTACCATCTGTCAATCATATTTTTACTTAACATTTCCAGTTACTTTCCATCGCTCTTGAAACAGTCATCCCAGCCCGGTGGGGTTTGCCTGCCGTTCACCTGTTCAGCGATCTCAGCACATCAGCGCACTGACCGTCTTTCAGTTCCTCCGAGCACCATGCTCCCTCCCATGTCAGGGCCTTTGCACAGGCTAATCTTCCTGCTTACCCTTCCTCTTTTGCATAGTTATCTCCCATTCCTCCTTTGGAGCTCATCTGAAATATCACTTCCTCGGAGAGCTTTCTCTCACACCACAGATGAGATGGAGTTCCTGGCAGTATGCTATTTTTAGCTTTTGGTGGCTTTTTTTTTTTCATAGACTTTATCACAGTTGTTAATTACATATTTATTTAATCATTCAATTAATGTCTCATCTGCCCTGTTAGTCTGTGAGCCTCGTGAGGGCGGGGTCTGTCTCTGTCTTGATATGCTCTCTTCTTTCTTGACGTCTGCCCGTTCTGCTGCACAGTATGGAGCATTCTTCCTCCCTCCCCACTGTGAATTCACCTGGTGAACTTCTTTTTCCCCTCAAGTTTCAGCACAGACATTTGGTGTTCCCTGCCCTGCCCCTCCTAAGGCTAGATGTGGTGTCCCTCTTGTGTGACTTCACAGCACCCCTACATTCATTTGCCATGTTGCATTTATCACACTGTGTTGTAGTTGTTTATTTACTTGTCTCTCTTTTCCGGGAGACTCTAAACACCCGGAAGACCGGGGCTGTGTCTTGTCTGTCATTCATTCCCCAATGCCTGATATATTACTTAAGACACAGCAGGCATTCAGTTGCTCAACAAGTGAATGAACGAGTGAGTGAATGAAAGTCAGGTAATGGTATAAGCAAGAGCTTTGAAAAAGTTAAGCACACCATAAAATGTATTATTTTGGTCACAAAGAACAAGACATGGACACCTGAAAGCCACCAATCTCTATAAAACATGAAGGAGTGGAGGACACGAGGTACCAGTGGGTCACAGCGCACACAGTGAGGGCTCTCGCTCCCAAGCAAAGATGTTAGAAATAAGACAGACCTGAGAGTTCACTTAAGTCAGAAGAGATGGCATCAGGGCTTTGGAGAAGCCATCATAAAAGTGAGGATGTCTTCCTGGACAAAATACTGACACGTGGAAATATTGAAGCAAATTTTCATTGAATGTAAAGTTACTATGTCTATAAGAAAGAATGTTAACAGATGGGTGGGTGCCTGGTACCTGGAGACTGGAGAAGGCAGTCCAGAGACCTCACCCTTGCCTGTAGGGCCCCAGCACCCTTAGAGAGGTGCCCTGTCCACCTGGGCACATCAGCCTCAATGACATGAGACCTTTGAGTTCATCAATAACCACCCTTGTGCTATGCCTCTAAGCACAATTATGAGTACAATTTGCCAAGCTACCTAGACTATCTCCAGAGAGAGACTGCATTGGCCAACAGATACATTCCAGCCTACTTGGCAGTTATATTTCTCATTATAAATTACTGAGTGTCTTGAGAACTCGGGTGGTGGGGATTGGTCTTCTTGGACTTTCTTGCCATTGGCCCCAGTGACACATTTAGGTTCTTGACCTGAGGGCCACAGGCTTGCCAGCCACACTTGCCGACCTCCCTATCTGGTGTCTCTTTGACTTCAACAAATCCAAGAATAAAAAAGTAATAATAAAATGTATGTTTTGCCCTTCAGAATATTAACTTCTACTGGAGGAAAATAGTGGAGGAAAATGATGTATTATTATTATTTTGTTTTGCTTTTTGAGAATCAACTTTAAAGTTTTTATTTTGGTAGGGAGAAGAATGTCCAGTAGAAAGGTACATTATCAGATGCAACTTTTATACTGCAATCTTTGACATTCTGCCATAAAACACAGGACATTATTACTCAAAACTCATGTCTTATTTCATGTATTTATTTTTATGCACATCTGCTCTGAACCAAGAAAAGTTTAATATATTAACGTAAAATACTTCTTTTACTTCAGCTTTACATTTTGCAATGCTCTTCCATTGGCAGAAAAAGCAGACAGTTCTGAAAGAGAGGCCCTCATGTCTGAACTCAAAATGATGACCCACCTGGGAAGCCATGAGAATATTGTGAATCTGCTGGGGGCATGCACTCTGTCAGGTAACCGATTCCCACCAAAAGCACCTGGTCAAAAATATTTTAGTCTGAAGACAAAGGGGACATATCTTCTTGATTTTTCCTCTTTTCTCAGTCTCAGTGTGCACCCTCAAACCCAAGTGTGATTAGACATTGGAGCCCCATGTGGGCATACGGGTCAGCGTAGAGAATGCCTTTCTGTTGGGATATGCCGCAGAATTCTGACCGAATTAACAATAGTAACAACACTGCAAGTGCGTTTTGTGGCATGTCCCTCTGCCTACTCAGGTGGCGCTTTTCCCCCAGCTGTGAAGCTGGCCTAAATGTGTGGTGCAGAGCTGCAGAGCTTGGCCACTGCCCTGGCTGGGCCTCCTTCAAATAAGACACAGCCAAGGCAGGATTTCATCCTCCCAGAATTCAGTGGAGCATGTGCTTTGATTCTTGCACTTGGTCCTAGAAATACCCAACTGATGTGCCCAAGGCATATTCTCTCTGGGACAGCCAGCCTGGGACTATAAAGAAAAGAAACAGAGAAATTGAATCTCAGAGAGGATGGGGATGTATTTCTCCCTGCTTAGACAGCGAGTTGGCATGTGTATTCAGCGCTCATAGTGCAGCTGGTGTATTATTCCCAGTTACATGCTGGAGAATTCAGGCCGCCAGTGCTTATGGATGAGGCCACATGTATTACAAGGGCCGAAGTGGAAGGCGAGACGAGACTGCTTTCCAAAGGAGTTGGAGCAAAAAGCTGAAACCGAATTCAAATCCTAAGAACAGAAAGGTCAGGGCCTGTGGGCCCCACTTCCTGAGGTCTGAGACCCAAGAACCTCCAGAAGACAGCCTCCTTCCTGATATTTTTCTCTCTCAGTAAAAATTTTGGTTAGTGAAAAAAAAAAAAGAAGAGAAAGATCAGGGAAAACTGTCCTTTCCCAAAGTCAGGGGAGAAGTGCGCTCACATAGAATTCATGGTCTGCGTCACAGATGTCTGAAAAAGTGATTCCATTGTTTGTATACCTATAATTAAAATTGCCACTGTTTCAGGACCAATTTACTTGATTTTTGAATATTGTTGCTATGGTGATCTTCTCAACTATCTAAGAAGTAAAAGAGAAAAATTTCACAGGACATGGACGGAGATTTTCAAGGAGCACAATTTCAGTTTTTACCCTACTTTCCAATCACATCCAAATTCCAGGTAAGAGACTGGGTCAAGGTTTCATAATTATACCATAGAAAACACCAAGTATGATTGTTAAACACCCCCAGCTGGCGAGTCTCTATGTAATCTAGCATCACGAGGTTGGAGGGCTCCCGGACCTGGAGAGGTCACTTATGTTTGCTATCGTTGTTTCCTTATTGATCTGGAACCATGAAACCTTTCTCTTTCCTCTGGCACAGGTACTGTAGCTGGGCCAGGCTCTGTTCATCTGTGCCTAAATCACACCTAGACATATATTCCATTTTGGGAAGGTGCATTATCCATTCTTTCCAGCTTCTGGGTTAACACATAGATACTGGTAGAAAAAATGGACATTTTTTCCAAAGTCCTTGACATGTTCATGGTTAGAGTAGCTCAGATCCTGGGAGTATTGTACAAGAGAGCTCTCAACTTTTAAAAAATTTTACGTAATGTGATGGAGACAAAATAAAGTAGTGGCAGCATATATCTCTATGCTCCGTGTTGTATATTCTGCCATTCATGTGGATCCTGAGTGATTCTTGGTCCTGATGGGATCTCATTTCAGCGTGCATGAATGGGGACTTGTAGGAGTTTGACCGGGTACCTATCCTCATCCTTGGAAACTTCTTGCTAATTACGTGAACATCGAAGCTCTGTAACAGCTTTCTCTGAATGAATTCACGGCATTGTGGTGGAATCATTCCTCAATCCCCAGTGCATTATTTCCCCAGTATGGGAAACCTCTCCCTTATTCTAAAGGCAGATTTGTTAGACTTCTGTCTTTACTGGAGGACTTTTGGAAGGCATGTTTGAGATTCCAGCCTTGTTTTCTAAACATGTAAGTTTCACCACAGGTTTTGGCCTTCTGTCATTGGAGACAGAGACCCAGCACCTTAGAGTGTGCAGATCCCCATTCACCTTTTTGTGCCATTGCCCTTAACCGATTCATACCTGTCACACCAAGTTTCCTTTTACACTCCTTTCTCCATTCATATTGTAAAACTGAGAAAGTCCTATAATGTCATCATATTCTAGACCAGGGAGTCTATCCTAATGAGTCAGATGTTCTTATATTGGCACTCCACTGTTATTAACGACTAACGCTGATAACTTAGTGCCTTTGATTTGCTCCAGCCATTGGGGTATTCAATACACTGAAGCAACCACATTTGGAATATTTGTGGTCTGAAAGCATTAAGCCATTTTCCAAAGATATGGAAGTTATAAATTGGAATTAAACTTGTATGGTGGAATACATGGATTCATTGTCTGTGTATAATGCATACAGAATTCCTCAGTGAAGAGTTCTATTTTATGTGCCATAAAAGCGATTTTCATTATTACCATTTATTAATTTCACAGGAAAGGGAAATGAGGTTTTCCCACTTAAAAAAAGAAGGATGGTAAAACCCTTGAAGGTCTCTGTAGAAGATCTGTGTTTCATGAGCTTTTATAGGGCAAGTGGGCTGAGTTTAGAAACAGAGGAATGAGGTGTGAGTCCTAATTGTACTTATTAGCTTCGTGACTTCAGCAAATCATCTTCATCTCACCAAGTCTACTTTCTCTCTTACCAAATGTGTAGACACCCAGCTTGTGGAGTTATGGTAAGGATCGAGTAGGTCCTCTTTGAGCTGGAAAACTCCATATAGATAGTGGGGATCATGTCTATGCTAGTTAGCCTGGCCAGCTCGTCATTACAGAGATGCTTTTCATGTCCACACACACACACACACACACACGCACACAATGGACAAGTCAGCACTGTGTTTTTAATTAAAAAGCCCATTTAAACATGGAATTTATTTATTTGACGAATTGTATTTTTTAAAATAAAATGTCTACATGGAAGATCAGAAATAATAAAATAACTTTTTTAATAGTATGCCTGGCTCAAGAGAAGTTCAAATACAGCAGGAGTCGGATCCTATCTCAGGGTTCGGTGGGAATTCATTTCAATCTGAAGGTAATACTTTATTCTGTTTAGTAGCACTGTAAAATAGAAACGGATGCAAGAGTTCCATGTTAGCTGTTTTTTTAAAGAGTGTGTAAACGCAAAAGCATGTTTTTCTTTGCTAATGTCACCGATAGGCTCTGTGAATGCATGTTTGTTTTAAAGGTAGTTAACAGCCAACAGTTTATATAGGTAGTGAATTTTATGTCAGTGTTCAACTAATAAACACTGAGACCTGTTTTATTTGGTCAGGTTATTCTTTCAGAGTCAAAAATTAGTTGGAGCCACCCTATCACTTGGTAAGTGGAAAAGATGAGTTCTGGGAGGCCGATGGAAGTTGGGTTGACTTCCCGTTCCTTTGCTCTCTGGTTGGGTGACTTTGAGCAAGTTATTTAACCATCTGGATCACAATTTTCTCATGTGTAAAATGGGCCTAATTTCCTCATAGAACTATTAGAAGGATTAAATGGAAGAACCTTGAGTGCAGATACAGTTCATAGAATGTGGTAGGTTTATGTTAATTCCCTAAGCCACGTGCCTAGACTATCCAGTGCTAAAGTAGAGCGCCTGACACCCCGGCTAGTCAGGAGGCCGTCTCTCACCGAAGCAGCCAGAAAATGTATCCCTCTAATCCAGAGCAGTCTTCAAGCAACCCCTCGTGGGCCACTCAGCTCTCAGGATGAGCAGGTCAGTCCTGGAGCGACCAGTCCAGTGATGTGATAGCTTCACATGTGCATCTTAGCACCTCACCTCACTGTGCTTTAATAACCTCCTCAGAGAGACTTAACAAGGCAACTTCTCAGGGTTTTGGCCAACATGAGGACCAGTTCTATTTTACAGACGAAATTGAATATGAAAACCAGAAAAGACTGGAGGAGGAAGAGGACTTGAACGTGCTCACCTTTGAAGATCTCCTTTGCTTCGCATATCAAGTTGCCAAAGGAATGGAATTTCTGGAATTTAAGTCGGTAAGCTCCCTTTAAAGAAACTAATGAAAAAAACTGATAATTTTGAAAAAGAGATGTGCTGGTTTTTTCTTGTTTTTAACTTGTATCCCTTAAAGTCTGTCTCCCCCCCCACACACACACACCGTCCCTTATTAGATAATGGTTATCATATCCTTCCCAGGCTGGCCCAAGTCCCCTGAGCCTGCCAGATAGACTGTCCTCAGACATGCCTCCTCAAAGGCAGGTGTGGCAGGGCCGGCCCTTTGCACAGCCACTCCAGTTGGTCAGGCCATGCTCTGCACATGACCTCGGGGTGAGTGGGGGCTCCAATGCAGGTGCTCGGCTGGCCTGGCCAGCCGCCCTGGGCGCCTTGTCTGTTTGGCAGCCAAGCTGTGGGCTAGCAGTTAGCTGGAGGCCTGCCGCCTCTGCTGCTGTCCCCAGATCCATTAGGGCTGGGCTGGGGAGGCCATGGAGCCTGCCTAGGACCATGGTCTCCACCTCAACCTGGCATCCTTCCTTTTAACCCTGCTGTTCTCTGACATGTCAAATGTCTCCTGCCTCTAAGCATATTAAAGCCATTCCTCTGGTGATTTTCTGTCTTTATTTTCTCCCCTTCCTTTCCCTTTCTTTATACCCCAGACTTCCTCTTTTTCCTTCAAGGCACCTCTTCTCTTTCCCCCTCTCCCCTCCACTTTCTCCCTTTGCCTCCCCTTTCTCCCCAAATCTGGAGAGGATAATTTCAACTATGTTTTTTTCTTTCAAAAAGTATTGTCTCTACTGACGAGAATTAGGCTTGAGATGGATTAATGATTGTACATTGAGCGTTGACCCCCCTATACTGAATTTTATTGTTGTTAACAACCATTTGATCAATAAATGTGAGAGATGCCCTCTCAAAAAAAAAAAAAAAGTATTGTCTCTAGTATAATGTTACGTCAATTATACCTCAATTCAAAAAAAAAAGATTACCATGAAATAAATCAATAGCTCTGAAGAGTGGAAAGAAAATTCTATTCACACTAGCAACCAAACCTATGAAATATCTTGAGATAAAACATGAGAAACGTGCCAGATCGGTGCAGACAAACCCGTGAGTTTTATTAAAGGATGAAAGGACAATCTGACGAATGAGCTCTACTGTGTTGACATTGGAGAGATTCAACATTGAGAAGAAAAGTCAGTTCTCTTCAAATTAATTTGTACCTTTAACACAACCTAAGTTAGAATCTCAGGGGTTTTGTCCTCATGGATATTAAAAGTGCATGTGAGCTTCTTTTCCAAATTGGGCATCCTCACCCAACAGTTTACAGTAATTACCATCTCATAATCTTTCCGCACCGCTCGCCTCTGAGGCGCATCCTTCTCTGCACCTTCCCCACCTGCTGTCGGATGCCCCTTTCCTCAAATTTCAGTGTAAACTTTGGAGAACATGTCCCTAGACCATTTGGCTTGTGTGCTGCCTGTAGTTAAGTGAATACTCAAACTACTCACAATTGGAGGTCGAGGGGCAATGCTTTTTTCCCCTCTGGGCTTGCAGTAATGGGAATTGTTTGAAGAATATCCAGCTGCCAGCCCCTCCCCTGTGCTATCCTCCTTGCCTGCCCACTGTGAGTCCTCAGGTCACTGCCCCCTGTTGGCTTGTTCTTCCTCCCCACCAGGTTGCTCCTCAGGCTCCTTGGTAGGCAACGTTTCTCCATTAGATGTTACGTGAGCCCTGACGGGGGCCAGGCTTTGGGCTCGATGCTGAGATTTAGAGTCAGAGCTTATTGCTGATGGGGAGAAAGGGACAGGCAGACATGCTAATCACAGTTGCGGTGAATACCGTGTTCTGCTAAGTTCTGGGACCCCAGGGAGGGGTGGGGACAGCAGACCAGGGCGGGTAGGGCATGGGGGGACGGTGCTGAGGAGGCTTTCTGGAGGAGTTCATGCTTGGCCCAGAGGAGACTTCTGAAGGAAAAAGAAAGCCATCAGGGAACTGCGGGTAGGCTGGGGAACCTGCTGTTGGGAGGAAGTTTCTTGTGAAAGGTCACGAGTTAAACAAGTTGAAGGTGAGGTCCACTGGGCAACAAAGTAGAGCTTAGTTAAGGACATGCTTGGATTTTCCTTTCTGAAGCTCAAGAGAAGTGTTTGGGTTGGAAATGGAGATTCTCATGATGGTGCTTGTGTGGCGTGAGCTGTGGATGTGGAGTGAGAGAGGACGCAGCCCTGGGGGAGGAGACCAGGCTCCTGCAAAGAGCGCAGGCGCAGACAGGAGCCCGCAGGGCACTGGGAGGAAGACAGAGGTGAGTGGTGTACAAAATTCACAGAGGAAGGGACCTGAGGGGGGAGAGGCTGGCCAAACAGTACCGGATGCCCCCCAAGAGTTCAGGTCACGTCCCAGCTGGGCCTGTGCTGTGCAGGTCACGGCTGGCTCAGCCAAAGCAGCTGGGGCGGACAAGCTGGAGGTGGAAGGCAGGTTGCAGGGGCCTGGTAGTTAAGTAAAATACTCATGATGCTATTAATTAAAGGGATTAACTGTAGTCCCAAATGGAATTCATCTTCCTCCGTAGGAGACCGCCAGCTAGGAGGTTTGCAACTGCAGAGCCATATAGGAGCCTTCGTTATATTTATGACTTCTGCTACAATGGGTGAGGCAGAAATCCAAGGGCTGAGATGATTGGTTGATTCCCGTGGGAAGCCCACCAGAAATACCCATGATCCCTGCTGGCTTTCCTTTTCCTTCCATGGGTGAACTGGACGTGGGGCCTGCGAGTGGACAGCGCTCTTGGAACACTGGATGAAGAGGAAGGCAGGCTGGGGGTTTTAGTCCCTACGGGTTTTGCTTTTATTTTTTAAGGATTGAAGAGAGCCCTTTGGGCTTTTGCTGCTTGGGCCCTGCTGCTTTTAAGATCTTCCTTCTTAGAGTTAATTTTCTTGCCAGACCCCTCGGATTAATGTCACATCACCTCTTGGTTCCGGGTCTCCTAATTCTTCTTTACTCAGCCTTCCCACACTTGTTTTTATTTCTTTCCGAATATTTTCTTTGATTTTGACTCCATTTTATTGCCAAAGCCATTTCCAGTCAGAAAAGAGGTGATTTTCTCCACCCTCACACCGGGTGCAGACGGGCGGCTCCCTGGAACTCGCTTTGGGACCTCAGCCGAGGGCCTGTTGTGTCTCTTACTGCACCGTAGGCTACTGGGTTGGGTTGGTCTCTTTTCTAAGACCCCGTCCCCTTTGGCCTCTGGAATGTTCCATGCGCAGCAGCCACAGCAGCTGAGGAACTGGGTTGCCCTGTGTACTTGGTTTGTGTCGCACATCGTGGTGATGCGCGGTAGAGGTGAGCCATGGTGAGCTGTACGTGCCGTCATCTGTAACTCCTCCTACGGAACTTGAAACGACATGAAGGACTCACAAAATATGTAGCAAATAACAGTGCGATTTCATTCTTTGTAGTGTGTCCACAGAGACTTGGCAGCCAGGAACGTGCTCGTGACCCATGGGAAAGTGGTGAAGATTTGTGATTTTGGATTGGCTCGCGACATTATGAGTGACTCCAACTATGTTATCAGAGGCAACGTAAGGCTGCTCTGGGTTACATATTTTTATTCGTAATTGTATACTGTTGTTTATAATGACGATGTTTTGTTGTTGTTCCAGTAAACATTTTTGGTTTATGGTAACATCAGAAAAATTCCTCACAGCAGTTTGCTTTCTTATGCTTAGAAGGTTTTCTGTAGCTTCAGGGAATATTCATTTGTCATAAAAGTTGAACAGAGTAGCGCTATCCTTGGGCTAGTCGGAATAGATCAATTAGGGGCCTTTGAGGCAATCTACACTTCAAAGAAAATCTAGTTACTTGCACTTATTTCAGTTCTTATCTATTGTGGGAATAGGTAATAGTTACAATGAAGCATGTAGAAAACTGTTTAACATATTAGTTGAATGTTAAATGTAAATTTTAAAAAGGCATAATATTTAAATGTCAGCTAATGAATATCTGTTATCCTCTTGCTATCATGCAGGGCGACCTGGAATATGATGCCATCTACTTGTTAAACAAAACTAAGGACAGATGTGTTATTTGCAAGCAAACTAGTAGAAATACCAGATGATAATGTTGTGGGGCTGAAAGAATATGGATTTTAAGAATTACAACACTTGGATTTAGGCCCCTATTCTTCTTGCTTTTGGCTATTGCTCTCTGGGATTTCTCTCTGTTTTATTGTTCCTACTTGTGAAATAATAACAACAAATACCAAAATGATACAGTGCTTACTTACCCTGTGCTAAGCACTCTTCTACCTGCTGTATGTACATTGATTCATTTAGTCTTCAAAGTTCCCATTTGTGGGTGAGGAAATTAAGGCACAGAAACGTCACTTGCTTTGATTGCACAGCATATGGATTAGAACTTGAACAATCTGAGCCCCTTGTTGGGCATAATCACTATGATAGGGTGTTTTCTTTGAGCGTGATACACTTCAGTTGTAGTGTCATTTTGGGGGAAAAAACAGTAAAACCGACATGAAAGCACCTGTCCTGGGAAAACATTCAATAAAGGTTAAAAATCAAATTAAGCTGTATTCCCACTAGAATCAAATAATTGTCTTAGCGGATCTTAGTCTATTCCTCACTCATAATAAATATAACAAATGCTCAACAAATATAACCAATGTGGCTATGCAGTTTTGAACCTGCTAGCTGGTGGTCTCGTATGTGGGAAGGTGAATTCCATTTGGGACTACAGTTAATTCCTTTAATTCATCAAATTAACCAGACTAGCCTGCTTGATTCTATCAGCTCAAAGTTTGTATAGGATTTAAAATAGGGTTTCTTTCTTGGGCTTTGATTTTGTGTATGGCAAAGGGCTCCTCAACCTGTGAAAAAGCAAATACTACAAAAGGCTGTGCCTTCAGTGACCTGTCTGTCCCATGTCTTGATTCTGTTCTGAGGCTTTAGTAATTCCAAACCCCTCTTTCATGCTCCTGGAAATTATGAAAGCCACAGAAGCCAGCCTGGTGTCTTTCCTATAGTGATGACTTACGGTCCCCTCCGCACGTTCTTGTGGATGGCATTTCCACTAAAGTACTTCCAAGAAATGCGTTAACAGAATAGTCCGCCAGTTCCCTAGTATCCACTTACTTCTGGGCAACTAACCAGCTACTTCTCAAGGGGAAGTGAGTATCTCCTATTCAGTTTACCACTTCCAAGCACAAACCTTTGTTCAGGATGAGTTTTGAAAAAAAAGTAGGGGTCGATTTTTTTCAAAGGCTAATGATAGAATGTTAATATGAAAGTGAAAAACCTCCATTTGAGGATATAATTTTCTCAGTAAGCATTAGGAGTGGTCCTAGGAAGAGAACACCTTTTGTCATCTAGCTAACAAGAGAAAAGAAGGAAGTGTTTGTAGGTGAGAAATTCACCCCACCTCTCCTCTTGGACTTTACACAGGCCCGTCTGCCTGTAAAGTGGATGGCTCCTGAAAGCTTATTTGAAGGGATCTACACAATTAAAAGTGATGTCTGGTCCTACGGAATATTACTCTGGGAGATATTCTCCCTTGGTAAGTGTTGCTGTTTTCTGAGCCCCCCAGGCACTGGTTCTGCACATTCTGCTCTCTCTGCACTGTTCTGCCACCCCCGTCAAAGAGTAGATAACATGCCACTGGAAGTGCTCGCGGAGCTCCTAATCTTACTTCTGTTGCAGCATGCACCCCTCTTTTTTATTTGCTGGTGTCTCTAAGTCTTACCTTCCCCACAGGCCTGTCTCAAGAGTGGGAACCCTGACTTTTCCCAGTTGAAGCCTTGCACCAGGAAGCTCTCAACACGTTTGTTAATTGAATGAATGAATAAACAAATAACAAATGAATGAATGGTTACATGCCCTACTGTTTTTCTCAGGTGTCAATCCTTACCCTGGTATTCCTGTCGACGCTAACTTCTATAAACTCATTCAGAGTGGATTTAAGATGGATCAGCCGTTTTATGCTACCGAAGGAATGTAAGTTCAAATCAGACTGTCTAGTGGCTGAAATCAGAAATGTACAGTCTGTCTAGTTCCAAATGCAAAACAACAAAGGTAAAACTCCTTAAAGCAAACTTCATATGATTCCTTTTAAAAAAAAAAGAAAGAAAACTTTTCTTTTGTTTTGGGATTTCTCAACAAAACTGAACCTTTCCTGCCCTAAGACCCTCTTACTTTCGGGTTTCAGTTCCTTTGCTTGAGGGATCCGTGAGGGCCATAAGACCCTGTGCCCTGACTTACGGTCCACATCATATTTTTTAAAATGCCTTTCTGTCCATCATCAACTTTGTGTTCTTTCTGATATGAGGTCACAGTCTAGTAGAGTTCTTGCCACAAAACAAACATGCCTTAAATAAATGGGGCTTCATTAAGTGGAAAATGATCCATTTCTTCATTCAGACCTCCTCATCTGGCTCCTGGCTCTGTTGTTTTCACAGATACTTTATAATGCAATCCTGCTGGGCTTTCGACTCAAGGAAACGGCCGTCCTTCCTTAGCCTGATTTCATTTTTAGGGTGTCAGCTGGCGGAGGCGGAGGAAGCGGTACGTAGCAGTACAGTACTTTGTAAGGCGTTCTTAAAAAGGAAAGCGGTAGCTCAGGACAGTTGTTGCTGATTTCCTAAGAACCGGAAGTAACAAGCTGTCTTTCTCACCACAATTTGTCTTGATTGCTCTTTAAAAGCATTAGGAGGTAAGATATATTTATTAAGTATTTTTAGGGGGGAAAAAAGCTTTTCCTGAAAATTTCAGCCAATTGATTAAAAAATTCAGTTGACCCTTAAACGACACAGGGGTTAGGGGCATCATCTGCCATGCAGCTGAAAATCTACATGTGACTTTTTACTCTCCCCAAACTTACGTATTAATCATCTACTGTTGACTGGAAGACTTACCGATAACAAAAATAGTCGATCAACACATATTTTTGTATGTTATATGTATTATACACTATGTTCTTACAATAAAGTAAGCTAAAGAAAAGAAAATTTTTTCGAATTGTCAAAAATCTCCAAAAGGTTTCCCAACATATTTATTGAAAATATGATCTGCGTATTAAATGGACCTGCACAGTTCAATCCCATGTTGTTTCAGGGTCAACTGTAAATGCTTTTAAGCCTCTAGTGCAGAGGACTAGACAGCTGAATGAAACTTAATCCCTGACCTCCAGTAGCCGCTGACCTCTCCTAATTCAAACATGAAGATTTAGTATGGAATAATCACATAACTCAATCATGTAATACAGTGGAGTAGAAAGAGCATTGCCCTGGAGTCATAAGGGTCTCATACCAGCTACAACTCTGCATCCTAGTAGCGGTATGAACTAGGGCAAGTCACTTACTTCTCTGGGCCTTACCTACTCACCTGTAAAGTGGGTTGCTAAGCCAGGTGATCCTTGAGCCTTGGAAACTTCCAATTACTTTGCTGACTCTTTCCCTCATCAGTACCACCTGGCACAGTAAAAGGATCCATCCCCTCATGAGGTGAACAGAGGAGGCGACCTTGACCTCTCAATACCTATGTGCACAGCTTGCCTTCACTGTTTGCTTCTTACATGACTTGGTTAAGCCGCTTAATCTTTTTGAGGGTCTCAGTTTCCCCCTCTGATATATGGGATTAACAAATCTTACTTCCTATTTCGTGGAATTGTAAGGAGTAAATAAGCTATTGTATGTGAAAAAGCTCAGTACATAGAGGGTACTTAGTAATTCATGAATGAATATTAGTCAGATATGAATCTGATTCTTTAAGTGGATGGTCTGTCCTCTTTTTCTAAATTCTGAAGACTCCACATTCAATTTGGTAGTCTTTCCAGAGAACTGCGTAGATGTGTGTCCTCTCCTCCTGTTAGGATTTTGTAAAACTCACATACCAAAACTAGGTTACTGTCAGGGAATTAGGTCAAGAAAGTTGGGGGAGATAGAAAGCTCGCAAGGGAACGACAGGCTGTTGAGCAGATGACCTGTAGGCAGTCGCTAACACTCTAAAAGATTAACTGGAAGAACGGTTATAGAGAGAAGCAAGAAATGAGCTGTTGGAGTAAACAGAAAGGATTGAGCAGTTTCTACGTGTCTGGCCGTTGGGTGTGGACTCACAGAGCTGTTATTTGAGCTAAGCTGTGAAGAACGGGTAGTGCTTTGGCCATTGGAGAATAGGAGGTTAGTAGGGTGTTCCAGGCTGGATGAGTAATATAAATAAAGGTTCAAAGCTGAGAGAGTAGAATGGAAAATCAGTAGGTGTGGCTACAGTATAGGGTGGCTGGGGGAATCGAGGGGGCGCAACCAAGACTGAAAAGGTGGGGGCTCCATGGCTGCTGAAGAGCCCTTGGCTTGCCCCAGTCGCCTCCACTCTGCTCCGTGACCCTCGGTGGTGGGAGCCTCTTTTCCCTACCAGTACCAGCACCACTGATCGCGAGCTCTAGTTTCTTTAGGTAAGTTGGTAAATAGCCTCCCCTTGGGGTAGGATGGATGCACCAAAAGCAACCTCTTACCCCTGGCTGGTGCAGTGGGCTCCAGTCTGGGGGAAGCCTGGGGAGTAGAGCAGAATCAGATTTCAGTCCCTACTTGCCCGTGTGGCTGGGCATCTCTCAGCAAGGCTTCTTCTGCACAGCCATGACAGGCCGCTCTGCTCACTGGGAGCCCGTGACCCTCCTCTATAGCCCCTCCATTTTTTTTCTTCACTTCTCCGAAGCCAGTCATGGGTGGGAAAATAGGCTTTGCCGGCATGCCTGGGGTAATCTTCCCTGCATGCATGTGAATGGTTTCCGTAGAATCTCTTGTTTCTGCTCCATCAGGGACTAGGGAAGGAAAATGGCCCTTGGAGAACAAGTGAGAGAAGGAGGGAAACACGCAGAGAAAGTGCAGGTCAATGCTTCTAGAGACAAACGCAGGCCCAGTGGTCGCAGTTAGAGCAGGGAGGCCATTGCACAACGTGCTGAGACCTTATGCAGACAGTGGTGAACCAATTAAGATTTTCATAATGGACAAACATGCTTCAACATCTATCTTAAAGGCCCAGATCACTATGTGTGGTGACAGATGTTAACCAGACTTATTGAGATCATTTTGCAATATATACAGGTATTGAATCATTATATCATATACTGGAGACATAATGTTGTATTTCAGTTATACCTCAATAAAAAAAAAAGAAGCAGATCAAATATTGTCTCCTCTCCAAAGGCTCCCTAATTTCCCTAGTCAGATTTCAGGCTGCTTCTTCGAGTCCCCGTAACAGTTGATAAGAGACTCAGTCGCGCTGGATGATAAGTTTGCTCTACGGCTTTGTTGTTCTCATCGCTAGACCTCACTTTCGGGGTCAGGGATGATGTGCTGCTCATCTTTACATCACCTGACGTAAAGTGTCCCACGGTCAGGAGTCGATCAGTAACTGGCCACTAAGTAAATGCATGAATGTCAGCATGAAAAGAGGTTGCAGACCACATCTGTTTTGTTCCCCGTCTCATACCCAGCTGCTGGCATGATGCTCAGCACATAAAAGCTGCTAAGCAAACATCTCTGGAAGGAAGGAAGGAGTGGAAGCATGGAAGTGAGTTTGGGAAAGCAAAGGCAAGACACCGGAAGGAAAGACATTAGTCAAGAGGTGGTGGCAGCAACGGGGATGAGCAGAGAGAGGGAGTGAACCAGGGCTGGGGCAGCGGGGCGGCGGAGCGAGGGGCAGCCACACCTCCTGTTGCACAAAAGGGCCTGAATTTGCATTGTCTCTCATACCCACATCCATATCCGTGCCTTGTCCACATCCACATCTATACCCATATCCTATCTAGATGCACATTCCCTTCCACATCTACATCTATCTGTATCTGTATCTATATTTTAAAAGAAATGATGCCATAATTGCTTTGAAAGCAGGAGGGAGGTCTCAGTGGACCAGAAACTGTGGGAAATCCCTGAGAAAACAAAAGCAGTTAAGAAAACCAGACGGAAGGGGGATTTCCCACACGGCAGGGGAGGCTTTGAAAGAACAAGAAGGGCTTCATGGAACGTGGGAAGAGGTCTAGTGAGATTCTGCAGAAGTCCTGCAGTGGTGCAACCACACTGTTAAATAAACATAAGAATTAAAATGAATGTTAAAAATAGCAATGGTATTTAAAAATAGCAATGCAAAATGAAATAATATGGTATTTTTAAATAGCGATACAATAGGAACCTCAGGGTCAGTGCAAAAGAGAAAAAGACCCATAGAAAACATGATCAATCCAACAAAATGGGGAGAAACAGAGTTTATGGAAAGAGAACACACAAAATGGCAGGAATTGGTAAAGCCACTTAAGAAAGAAAATTTCAAAGTAAATAGAATCGTTACCATACAGACCACATTCACTCACATCAGGGCAGCGAAATGAGAAGTCACCAAGGGCAGTCCAAAAAGCCACTGAAGTCATAGAGCAGGGGGGAAAACCCAAGAAATCGGGTTAGAAGAGTAGGGCTGGGGCTGGGGGTGGGGGTGGGGGGAAGAAATAGAAATGGACCCCAGTGGCAGTTGTGGCCCTAAACCCACTTCCTAGAAAACAAAAAAGAGTGGAAATAAATGACATATGTTCAACTCAAGCAGCTAGGAGAAAAAAATACAAACAAGGAAAAAGGGGAGCAGGAAGAGACTGAACAAAGCAGAAGGAAGGAATTGGTAGAGAAAGAGGCACAATTCCTTAACCGGACGGAGGACAGAGGAAAAAGCAAAATGCCAATGAGGGTCAGGAAAACCAAAGTTGTTTTTGAACTGACAGTAGTAATAATGTAGCAGCTGCCATTTTTTGAGTGTTATCACACACTTCCCTAATATATTACCCCTAATAACTCCCTTAATTCTCGCATCAGTCTCAGGAAGGACATCTGTTATTACCTCTTCTGCAGATTAGTGAATTGAGGTCCAGAGAGGTTAAGTCATTTGCCCAAGGTAACACAGCAATTGTCAGACTTATGATTTGAATAGAGCAGCCTGGCTCTAGTCTAACTGCATTTTAATGTTGTATGTTAACAAAATATTCAAGTATACCACCGGAGCTCACTAACTATGAAGAAAACAAAAAGGAGAAAGCATAAGTAACTATCACGCAAAATAAAAAAGAAAACATAACTATGGATAGAAAAACCATTTTAACAAGTATAGAAAATCTTAACATACCTCTTAATATTGATACACTTGAAAACTTAGGGTTTCAAATGTTTATGTATTATACAATTTAAAACTTCATTTTAAAAAATCACTTAAAGAAATGGAGAGGAAGATATTAAATGGTGTGGTATATCAGAACCAGAGCTGTAGCCGCCCCTGGGAGTAGAGAGAGCTGGAGGCGACGGATTCAAAACGCCAGGCTGCGTGCGGGGCTGCGTGACGGGCAGGGCACTAAGGGAAGCTCTAAATGAAGGAAGGAGAGAAGGTTTAGAAGTCCAAGTTACTGAATTCAGGTGTGGAGGTTCTGGCACAGGCTTCCTTAGAGGGTTAGAAGAGCAATGCTCGAGAGACACACTTGGCTCAACAGACCCGGTGGGTCACAACCAATTGCTCTGTCCACTTCACAAAAAAGACGTTATCATCCTCGTTCAACGTAAGGGTACCAGCAAACTGTCATTGTGCAGGCCAGCTTCGAAGGGAGATGTTTTTCCTTTCTAGAAGGAAAAATTAAAAGTAGGACACAGTCCAATCAGTCCACACTGTAACTGTGAAAACCAGCTAACAAAACAAAGTAAATAGTCACTAGGGGTAGAGGAAGGGGGGTCTATCAAACTTAAATAAAATGCACAATTCCTACATCACAAAGAGTTCTTATAAATAATAAGGAAAACATGTGTAGCCCAATATAAAAGGGCAAAGGAGATGAGCAGATTATGTACAATGAAAGGCAAATGGCCATCAAATATAGAATTAGAGGCTCCGCTTTGCTTATCATGACATACTTGCAGGTGACAAGATAAAACATGTTGCTCAGCAAGGGCTGGAGATGGGGAAGATCGTTAGTAGCCGAGAATCAGTCGACTGACAATGAACAGATATCTTTTTGTGGCCTTTCTCTTTCTTTGCTTTTTTTTTTCTGCACGGCTTTAGGATTTCTAAATTGCGATTTTATATCTAGGAGTAGAAACAATGATGAAATGAGATATTTGGTTTCTCTTTTAATCAAAGGACCACGTTGCTTGTCAGTTAATATGCAAAATATCCTCTAAGACCTATGCGTAGTAGAAGTAATGAATTGGCAATATGGGCACATGACCTGTAAGTCTGAATCAGCTGGTAATCAGTGTTCTCTCTCTTTCCCATTTTCAGATGTATCAGAGCATGGACGGCCATGTTTCGGAACGTCCGTCCATCTACCAAAACAGGCGACCTTACAGCAGAGAGGGGGACCCAGGGCTGCTCTCTCCACAGGCTCGTGTTCAAGATTCATAGAGGAGCAACTTAACCTTCAGGCCTTCCCCACCCACTCCTGCCTTGAACAGGCTGTAGATTACCAAAACCAGATTAATTTCCTCACTAAAAGAACGTATATTCTCAACCGCTGCTTTGCTGGACTATTGCTCTAGAAGCTCTCTGTATTTACTCTCGTTTCCAAAGGAACTTTCGTAAAATCAAATCATCCTTTGCACAAGGCAGGAGGAGCTGATGATTTATTTTATTGGAGCATCTACCATCCAAAGGCCTTCTGGGGTAGGCTTGAATGAAAAATTGTGTACCTGAAGTATAGTACATTCTTGTAAATACATAAAACAAAAGCATTTTGCTAAGGAGAAGCCGATACGACTTTTTAAATCTATGTTTTAAAATATGTAACTTTTTCAGCTAGTGATATATTTTATGAATGGAAATAAACTTTCTATTATAGAAACGTCCATCACTGAATTGTTTACATGGCATATTTAGGACAAGATATAACTGGAGGTTGTGAAGCTACTGAAATGATGTGCAGTATTTTGTTTGTGGGTGTGTATTTTTTTCCTACTGAGAAGGCCGTTCTTTCATCAGATTGTTTAAAGGACCCACAACTCCCGCCCCCCAGACCATGTGAAGAAGGGCTGTGTTTGACTCAGTCTCCTTCACCCTTTGAGGCTTAGCCCCCTACACCCCATGGGCTTATAAATGTGGACTTGTCCTCGTTACTGCCGCTGCAGTTCTTGGTGGAGAACTTGGTGCATTTCTGCCTTTTCTTTCTTCTCCTTGTCCTGTCTCCTAGTGTGGGTAAGGGCAGAGCTCTGGAGCCTCTCTGCTAGGCTGGAATTCTCTCTCCAGTCCTGCTTAGCTGTGCGACAACTGATTTTCTTTAGGCCTCAGTTTCTGCTTCTGGAAAATGGGATAATAATGGCATCCCTCTTCTACGGCTGTTGAAAGAATTAGATGAATTACATATAATGTGTGTTATCAGCTTGTACATAGGCTACCTCAACATGTAAACCACTTCAATCAATGCCTGGCCCATAAATATAACTTACACTATCAGTGCACTTTTCCTTCTTGTTCACGTCCTTGGCTTTAGGCCGAGCCGCCACATACTCACAGAGCATTAACCCCTTTCTTCCTGTAACTCTTTTCCTAATCTCTCAAGCATCCAGTGTTTTCTCTGAGCCACTGACAGATTTATCTTCCTGAAGTGTTAATTTGCATTTATCCCCTCCAGCTGGAGAGCTTTGGGTGCCTACCAGCTAAAGGCAAGTTCCTCCCGGCATTCAGCCCCCACACAGCCGGGCCCCACTGCACTTCTCAGTGTCAGACTACACAACACGTGTGCCGTGCATGCATCTCGGGCATTCCCAGCCCCAGGTTTTCTTTACTCCGCCCTCCATGTACCTGGGATGCCAACTCCCTTTCCTCTCCCCTCGTTAAAGCCCTTGCCCATGCCAGCTCCTCGAGACTGCTAGAATTCTTGCTCATGTTCCCTTTATTGGTCTTTATAGCCAACGTTGTTGTGCCTTCCCAGCTATTCTTCTCCATTCGCATCTCCTTCTGACACTGAACTCAGGTGAGAAAGGTTCTCTGAATTAAAGACCATGTATTTTTCATTTGGACTTTAAGTTTGAAACTAGATATGATTTATACCAAGTCAAATGCCCATCCCCCATATGTGTATACAGCCAGCACACAGTAAGTATATGTATTTATGTCTATGTTTTTTACCTATGGAAGTTACAGCATAAAATATGGTCAGTGTTAAAAATTCAAACAATTTTCCGTTTTTACTTGTAGTAATAAGTGAAATTTCCCCTTTCACCTAACCTGAATCCCAAAATGCTTCGTCAGGAGAAATACTGCTAAAGATCCAGTATATTTCCCCATGCACTTGTTTAAATATATTTATATTATTTACACATTTATACACTAACACACACAGAGTCCTTTGTTTTTCACAAAAATGGAATTACATTAGCCATATTGTCAAATGTGCATTTGTTCTTCACAATGCGCCAATGTTTTCCCAACTCTACATGTTTGTGAGGCATTTGTTCTGAGCCAAGCCTTGTGCTAAGAAGGACTAACGTGTTACCCCACTTAATCTTCTCTGCTGCCTTACGAAGTACATACTAAAATTATACCAACATTTTTTCTGAGGAATTTGAAACTTAGGTTAGTAATTTGTAGTCTCCAAGCCCCTGTTAACACTTACACTTTGCGATCACTCTTAGGTTCTACAATTATTTTATTTATTTTTAATTGTAGTAAGAAAACACATAACATAAAACTTGCGACCTTAACCATTTCTAAGTGTCCAGTTCAGTAGGGTTAAGTATATTCACATTGCTGTGAAACAGACCTCCAGAACTTTTGCATCTTGCATATATGATGCTTTGTGCCCCCTAAATAACTAACAACTCCCCTTTTCCTTTCCTCCAGCCCCTAGTAATCACCATTCTGCTTTTTTTTCTCTATGAATTTGACTAACTTATATAAGTGGAATCATACAATATTTCTCTTTTGGTGGCTGGCTTATTTCACTTAGCATAATTTCCTCAAGGTTCATTCAAGTTGTGGCATGTGACAGTACAATATTTCTTTTCTTTTTAAGGCTGGATAATATTTCATGGTATGTGTATACCACATTTTGTTTATCCATTCACCCATCAATGGACATTTGGGTTGCTTCCACCTTTTGGCTGTTGTGACTAATGCCGCTATGAACGTGGGTGTGCAAATACCTCTTTGAGAGCCTGCTGCCTATTCTTTTGTATATACATCCAGAAATGTATTGCTGGGATTGCTGCATCATACGGTAATTCTATTTAGAATTTTTTGTTGTGTTTATTATTTTTAAAGACCGTTTTGCAGTGATCATGTGTTTCTTTGACCATCTAGTATCAATTTCCATTTTGTTCAGTAACAGCACTGCGATTTGAGATATTACTTCCCCTTATTATAGGCAATGCCATGAAACTGTAGGCAGGGGGCTCTGCCTTCTAGCCAAGGGGAGTCCTTGACTCAAGGTAGCCTAATAACTTCCTCTGTTGTTCTGGAACTTAGTACCTTGACTGGATCCAGGCAAGGGTAAAAAAGGAGTTGGAGCTTATTATTCCAACGGCGCCAGCCTCTGTCAAGGGGCACAAGCAGTTCTCACTGCCTGGCTCCCTGGGCTGCTTTGATCCCTCTTGTTGCCCAGTCTTTGGTCTCTAGCTTTCTTGTCACGCCTGTGAGCACGCAGTCCCCTCTCGGTGAATTCTCCTCTGATGCAGTGAGCCCGAGCCTGCCTTACCACTTACAGCCTGAGAACCTTTGGCGGAAAGCCCAGCATTGACTAATCGTCTCCTCAGCTGAACTGAGAATTTCTTCTGCTTCACTTTCCCTAGAAAGTCCCCTCTGCTTGAACTGGCCAGTGGTCTTCTTTCTAGCTTCAAGTGCTATACTGATTTATCTTCTTTGGCATACTATTCTATTACCTTCATAGGATTTGAGGGGGTAAAGTCACAAGCATTTGGAAAGCCCTTTAGAACTGCTTGTCAAAAACTTTTGGTGATCATAGGGAGGAAAAAGAAAGTGAGTTAACGTTTATAGGAATGTACTCTTCCTTCTGCCAAAGTGCTTTTAGTCAGGGCAGACATACATTCTGCATGTGGCTTCACTGGATGGAACCAGAGATATTTATGCATGGAATCATCTAAACAGCACACCCCTTGCTGTTGAAGTATTCAGGACACCAAAGAATTTGATTTCCTTGAAAATGAATATTCTCTTGTTCCTGAGCTTTATAAAGATGGTATCATACTCTATGTACACTTCCAAATCCTGCTTTCTTTAAAAACAAAAATCAACACTATGCTTCTAAGATTCCCTCAAGGAGTTACATGGAGCTGAAGTTCTTTCATTTCCCTGATGGGTTATGTGAATATACGACGACTACTACTCATTTTTACACTGATGACACTTAAAGATTTTTGTGTTGAGTAAGATAATGGGTTGACAGGTGTTTGTTATATTATTTGCTTTATAATATCACTTTCGTATTATGCCAAATAGGACACTTAAAAGACAACATTCTCTGAAGGATGGCATTTAAAAACCTCTTCGGGGAAAATGAAATTAGACTTTATTAAGCCCACAAGATCTTACCACAGATTCAGTTTTAGTTTGGGTCAAGTTGTGTCCCTGACCTGACTACATATTCTTAACACATGTGGGAACACCACTTACGCGTACTGATTTTGGAGCTGGGTGGCTGCTCAGGTAAACCCTGTGCCTTCCTCCAGGCCTTGTAAGAGCATCACCAGTAGGTGGCGCCCTAGGACTACTATTTTTTGATTAGCTCAGCCATCAGGCCTGACTTCATTACAGCACCCTGCCTCCGGAAAGGCAAATTTTAAAAAGCAGAATTAAAGAAAGGGTCAATCAGTTGATCGGAAGGAAAAACAACTCTCTGTAGAGGTAACTTCAATTCATTTATTCAGTATCCAGTTGTTTCTTGACTATACTAATGACTGCGCTTTTATGTGCATTATTTGCCACATTCTCCACATTACTGAGCAGCCTACTGTGAGATTCTTTTATAGGACCTGGTTATTACTACCCTACTCTAAACAGCTCATACATCTGCTCAGGGCATTGACTTTCAGACTACTCTTCTTGGAGCACTGTCTATGCTTAGTGTTGTCTGAGCCTGGACTGGCTTCCTATATTGAAAACTGAAGAGTCTGTTTCCTAAAGATTTTTTAGCAGTAAGAACTGCTCCCCCCACCCCCTGGGGTGTGTGACCTGCAGCAGGAAGGTGTCCTGGGTGACCTCTTGTCAAAGTCCAGCCTTTCGGTGGCCCACCTTCCTTTCTGTCCCTACTTATCCCACCACCACTTGAGTTTCTTCCTTCTCTCTCCTTAGCTCTTCATGAAGGACTTTCTCAGCAACAGATTAAGTGACTCCTCTGCTTCTCCAACTACCATTTTTGTCAAAAATACGTGACAGATCATTATTCACATTTGTTTCTGTCTATGCCACAGTCGCCATCAGCAACAGGAAAACAAGGGTGAGAGAAGTTATCACCTAAAAAATATACATCTTCTCAGCACTTAGGAGTCCAATGTATTCAATTCAAATTATCTTATTAAGGCAGAAAAGGCTTTGATGAATTTTTTTTGTCCTAAAATATAATGTAAAATCTCCCATTTTAAACATGTTTAAGCATGCAGGTCAGAGGCATTAACCACATTTGCATTGTTGTGCAACCATCAGCACCACCCCCTCCAGAACTTTTTCATTTTCTCCAACTGAAACTCTGTCCCCAAATACTAACACCCATTTCCCCTTCCCCCCAGCCCCTGGCCACCCCATTCTGCTCTCTGCATCTATGAATGTGACCATTCTAAGGACCTCATATGAGTGGGATCATACAGTATATGCTTTTGTAACTGGTTTATTTCAACTGTTGAAATGTCTTCAAGGTTTGCTTTGATTTTTAAAGGTTGACTTTCATTGGTAACATACTGTATATTCCAGAGCCGTGGTAAAGCCTCTGTTTGTATTATCCCATTTAACAAATTGTGAAACCAAGGCTTAAGAAGGTGAAGTCATTAGCTGAGTACACAGAAGCCTGGCCTGGAGCCCCTGCCCGCTCTTCCCAGCAGTGCCCGGCAGCTACAGCCGCGTGGTTCCCTGCCCACACTTTTTCTTGCTTTGTCTCAGTCCTCAATTATACGAAAGTGTTCTGCTAACAGAAAGATTATGTGAATTCCAGCTCCCAATCTGCCTCAAATTAAAAGTGCACATGTAGAAAAGCAAATCGTTTTTCTGGTTATCTTACTGAGAAAACACTTGTGCATGAGCTCTATTCATGAAAAGCTAATGGCAGCAGCTAAAAGGAGCAGACCCATAAAATACTTCCACTAAAAGATGAAGTATAAATTTGTGCCTATTTAAGCACATCTTTGTATAAGTTAACTTTATAAAAGCTTTATTGACATATAATGCATATACTACACAATTTAGCGATTTGCAGTGCACAATTCAATAAATGCGCTGTTTGCTTGGATGAAAATCACCTTATCTCTGACCACCTTCAATTTCTCACTGATTTGATCGGTGAGCTTCACACAGGAAAAGTGAAGCCCTAGAGTGCTTCTTGCCTTGAGTTGCCAAGTTCCGTGTTAGTAATTCGGGGTTTTTTTTGTCGATGTTATTTCTGTATCCATGAATATTTAATTCCTTAACCTTTTGTGTCTTAAAGGTTTATATGTTAGTAGGTTATTTGGAATTTTATTATTATACGATAGATAACACAAAGTCAAAGGAGGTGCTGTTTCCAGGCTGTGCCCGAAGTGCAGTGCGGTCAGTCGGCTGGCCCTTCCCACCTGGGCCTCGGCATTTTCACGAGCAAGGAGTTTCTGCTTGCAGCTTCAGATGTCTATCTCCTGCTGCTCTCAGAGGAGCTGAGAACCCCTGAGGCTCCAAGCCCCAGGCAGGAGCCCCTTTGGGGGCGGGGACACCCTCAGTGTTCAGAGATAAGAGGAGGAAATGGTAAGAGGTCATGCGAAGGTCATGTGAGGGGTTGCCAGCAGTGGAATCTGGATACCCTTCTTCCTCATCTACTGCTCTACCCTCTTCCCACTCACAGAGAGCCGAGACACGAGTGGGAACCCCGTTGGGAGCCTGGACAGACCAACAGTGGGGGCCCGGAACAGACTACCCCCTCCCTGCCCCCCACCTTATTCGCAGGCCAGCCCTGGGAGGGGAGGTGGGGCTGGGGGGCAGGATTGGATACTGGGCTGTTAACTGGGTCTGTGGCAAAACTGTAAGGGCAAGAAAAAGCCCGTGTGACTCTGGTGGCAGAAGGGGAAGAAGAGAAAATTCTGCGGTTGGTCCAATGGAGAGATTGGACACAGAAAATCCCAGCCAATACCTGCAAAGTGCTGTGCACCGGGGCCATTTTAAGCACATTGGTATATTAATTGACTTCATCTTTGCAAAAAATCCCACGAGTTATCCCCATTTCACAGACAAACTGAAGTACAGAAAAGCTCAGTGGCTGGTGAAGCGTCACTCACAGGGCAGGTGGCAGAGGCAGGAAGGGCCTCTCTCCGGGGCCCGCACTGCCCACACGGGGCTCTACTGCCCCACAGCATTGACTCTGATCCAGGGCGCTTCCCCATGTATGCAGTATATGATTTAGCAGTGATCTTATACAGCTTTCTTCCTACTTGAAGACAGGCCGGTAGTGGTGGTACGTCTGGCACCGATTTATGCCCTTTGAAAAGCAAATTTCATCAGCCTCTTTTCAAAGGAGAAGGTCCATCAACCATGACCTTTGGACTCAGGCTGTCAGGGTGAGACCAAGCTGGGGAATGGCGACAGAGTCAGGACAAAGTCTGTGGCTGCTGACAGGTTATCATGGGTACTATCGTCACCTGCCTCTCACAGACCATTGGGCCAAATGTGATGGATTTATTCACGCTACCATGGTTGCTCTCTCCCTGAATTTTGATTCGGATGGACGCAAATGTGTACCTAGGACGACTTTTGGAAATAGGTGTGCATTTGTCGTTCTAAAGAGAAGTGACAGCAATATCTTTCTTTAGTTTTATATCTGCTCCCTCTTTTTCTTTGACTTTATCTTCCCTGGAATTTTCGTTCTGAGTACACATGAAGGATGTTAGGGTGAAAAACTTGATCTGTGAGGTCCTTCAGTCAACTAAATGGTGTTTATTGCTAGACTACTGTGCGTACGGTTCTAGGTGTCCAGGACAAGGAGTCAAACAAGGAGTGCTGTTTCCAGACTTACAGAACTTGTTGGGACTGAGAGATGAAGTGCAAATAAATAAATAACTAAGCAAGGTGACTTCAGAGATGGATAGATATATTCAGGAAGAAAATGACACATCACATTGTTTGAGAGACAACCAAGAATGGGGCAAAATCATTCCTCATCCTGTTTAAGGTGCATTTATTAAGTACCTAATGTGTTAAGCATTGGAGATGCAGAGAAAGTAAGAAATACAACAGATGAGAAATCAAATTCCAAGTGGGATGACTCGTGAACTGTCTTTGAATTATCAGAGAAAACTTCCCCAGAATAATGTTGACATGAAAATGTTAATGACTCCAAAAGTACACCTGGTTGGAATGCTGAGAGTGAAATATGGCCCCTACTGGCTTTGACTGTGGGAACAGTTCAGTGGTAAACAATGACCGCACAGAGCTCTCCACTCTTGGGATTAGAACCATAAGCCTGTGTTTGTTCATTACACAAGGATTTGGGATCCGCTTCTCCAGAGGCATTTAAAACATGCCCAGCTGGTATTGCATAAAAAACAAGCTTGGGCTTCAGCAAATATAACCTGGTGAGCAGAACTGGTGTCACTCACTCACCCACCTAGAGGACAGCCAGCGTCCTGCTGCCTTCAGCTGAATACAAGCAATGGACATTGAGAAGGTCAATTCCATGGACTTCGGAGAATTTGTGGATGTGTTTGGGAACGTTATTGAGAGATGTCCTCTGATTGCAGCTGCCGTGTGGTCCCAGCGCCCATTCTCTGGCTTGGAAGATTTGGAGAAGCATTTTTTTGCCATTGTTGATGCTCTGCCGCAGTCGGGTAAGGCTTCAGTGTTAGACATGGAGGTTCTCTGCAAAGGTATTTCAAATACGCTTATCGCAGTATCTATAGATAGTTTAGCTAGTTGCTCATAATTGATATATTGATTAAGCTATTTTTATTGTGAAGTTCAGAAAGTTTTCTCAGATGTAGTAAGTGAGAGTCAAGCACTTGCAAGGTGTTAAGCCAAGAGTGGAATGAAAGAACACCTACTGTCTCAGGCAAGCTGGCTGTTAAATATTAAAGCTGTGAGGTCACAAGGAAAGAGGGACAGGCGCTTGTCTCTGCAGGCCTCACTGCGGCTCAGAGGCCAAAGGTCAGGCCGAGGGCCCAGCCTCTCTGCGCAGAGCACGCTCACTTTGGGAATGTCCTGTATGCAAGAAAGGAGTCAGCTCCATATCAGGATATCTCAGGAGCCCAGGGGAAAGAGCAAATGGCTGACGTTTTGACCAGAAAAGGCCAGTTTGGACTGGACTGCCGAGGAAGGCGAGCTCATTTTGATCAGTGACTCCCTAGAGGAGTAAAGGGGGAAAGACAAAAATCTGAAGGAATTCCTCTGGAGAAAGGGAGAGAAATTGATTTCCTCTGGGTAGAGAGAGAAAAGGAGACACTTCTGGATGTGGGTGGGGAGAGGTGGAGGGTAGAGGCCCGGCCAACCCCAAGTGACTCAGAAGGAAGCCCAGCCCCACAGGGATTCAGGCCGAGGGTTGGCCTCCTGGGCTGTCCCGACCTCTTCAGAGGAGCCTCCATGGAGCTGAAGGGACACAGAGGGCAAGGCCACCTTCTCGGCGGGGCCTTCCCAGAGGTCGGGGGGTGGGGTGGGGGTGGGGGATCTGCCTCTCCTCTCTTCCGAAAGGAGGCCGACAGAGCCTTGCCTATCAGCCCAGGGCTTTGACCTCTGGCATGGCTTCTGATGGTAAGATGAACACCTCCCAAATAAGGAACTCGTTTTAAGCGCCTCTATGGGGAGTGGAGGGCAGTGTTACAAAGTCATGTTGACAGGAGTCGGGGCTGTGCAGACACCCACCCACTTCTCAGGGCCTCTCCAAAGCCGAACACTGGGCTCAGTGCTGTAGGTGGGGCTGGCCGACACCTGCGCCTTCTGGCCCATGACTCACAGCACTGCCAGCTGCAGCCTGATGGGGGCAGGGACGCCAGCTTGTCAGCCGCAAGTCTGCCCAGCAAGCTGGGAAGCGCAAGAGGCCACAGGGGCCATGTTCAAAATGGAGGTAGCCAAAAAAGAGCCGTCTAGGCCCTGGGGAAATGGCTTTTAAATGGTTTGAATGCCTTATGAATGACATTTTTTCTGTGGGGCGGGGGAGGAAAGAAGTCCCATGATCTGTCTCAACACACAGAGGGGTGGGGGGCTGGGGAGGGAATGTACTGAGAGAGACACCATGACACACCGATCATTTCAATCCATCTGCACTGGCTTACCCGGCTACTTAAAAACATTGATTTGGGGTCTACTCTGTGCCAGCTCATTGATAATAAAATAAGTTTCCCGATTTCTGTCTTCTTTCCCACCAGCAGTCACCCAAACCAGTTTGACCAGAAGTTCTAGTTAAGATTAGTTAAGGTCTAGTTAAGGTTACATCCAAACAGTCCTGAACAAAGTGGGATTAGGGGCAGGCGGGGCATTCAGTCCCTCCCTCCCTAGGCTTGTATAGGATCACCCCCTCCACCCCACTTTGGTGGACCTCTATATTCTGGCCAGTGTCAGAATCCTACATTAGTCAGAGAATAGGGTATTGGGACTTACTAAAGGCTTGCTGGATGAGTGAATGAAATTGTTCCTCAGATGATTTTGAAAGATGACATCCTGGTATTACCCGTTCCCAACACAATTTAATGGGGGTGCCTTTAGTGGCAGGTCAGAGGGCATTTGGGCCACACAGATGGCTGTTTGCTTCTAAACTGGACACTGTTCTTTGGAGGAAGAGCTCCCTGCTGACGGAGCCCATTCTCAGCCCTATGCTGCTGGCCACGCTTCTCCTAGGCAGTTGGGAGCTAAGCCAGTGCTGTCTGGGTAGTTGCTCTGTATCTAATCACCTTAATGACATTAGGCAGGTGATGTTAGCAATACTACTAATAGTAACAATAGTAAAATATATTTCCTTACTATTGGTGTGTTTAAGGCCCTTTTCCAAACTCGTTTAGCCCACCTACTAACCCTGTAAAACCAGCATTATCATTATTATCCCCATTTTACAGATGGGAAAACTGAGGCACAGATGAACTAAGTAACTTTATTGAAGACACACAACTAGGAAGTGACAGAACTGAGATTTGAACCCCGGTGGTCAAACCAATAGCTTTTGAATAATTTTCCAGAGAATCAGAAGCAAGGTCTGTGAACAGTTCCTAGAGATTTCATTTATTCATTCAGTAAATTACTTGTTTAACATGAATGCTTAGTGTTCCAGATCCCATGTTTGGTTGTTTAATCAAATAAAATGAGATTTACTGTACAATCTAGCTCTACTCCTTGTAACGTAAGAAACAAACCAGTGGGACAGAGTCTTTGAATCCTAAAACTAAAAGGGGCCTTAAAGAGATATTCAGGATATGATGATCTGTCTGGCTAAGGATTTGTTTTGTATGATCTAGAAAACCCTTCACCATTAACAGGAAACTGAAAATTCCTCTTTCTTGAATAAACAAGGGTGACATCCATTTAGATGATGCTATGACGATTATTGGCCAGTAGGTGGTAGTGCAGGATTAATATTCAGCTCCAGCAATAATTGGCGAAGTACCCTTTGCAGTCAATTGGTTCCTGACTTCCAGGCAGANCACACACACACACACACACACACACACACACACACACACACACACACAGTCATTAACAAGCCAGTTCAGTACAGATTTGTGTTAAGAACCAAACAGCAATAAAACTGTCAAAATACAGCTAATCATGCATCTCTGTGTAGCATTTCAGAATTGCACTAATGCCAAAACTCATTATTTAATACTTATTTTAGAACATAGATATTGAATGAATGGGTTAGATACTAATATTCCCTCAAATTCAGGCTATAAGATATTTAGATGAAGCTATTAAGATGTGTTCAGTCAAAAAATATATAATGCTCTTTCCCGAGAGTGATGTGTTGGACCATAGATATTTATCAAGTGACCACTGTGCCCCAGGAATTGTCCCAGGCACTGGGGAGAGAGCAGTAAACAAGACAAGTGACCACCTTCAATGTGTTTACATTCTAGTGAAGGCAGACAGGATTAACAAAAATAATTTTAGATTCTAGAAACTATTAGAAGAAAACATGTAATAGTGTAGAAAACATATAAAAGAGCTCTTTCTTAGGAAGTGACAGTTGAGTTTAAAACCAAAAGATGAGAAAGAATCATCAAGGATGTATAAGGCCGCTCTAAGCCAAGGAACCTGAGACTCTTGACATTTGGGGGGCAAAGTCCACAGTGGTTGGAGAAGAACAAGGGGCGGAGGGCTATAAGGAGAGGGGTCAGGTCTGTGTAGTAGTAGAAGTGAGAAGTGATAGTTGTTGGCACTAGGGTGAGAACAGGAGAGCTTGAGAGATGAAGCTGGATCCTCAGAAGAGATTTTTAGAGTTAGAGCCCACAGGGTTTTTGTTTCATGGATTTGTTAAGGGAAGGCAGGTTGGGAACAAAGAGCAATGAAGGATAACTAACTCCTAAGTTTGAGGCCTGAGCAACTGGGTGGGTGGTGCTGCTGTTTTCTATGAGGAAGACTTTAGAACTAAGAGGACAGTGGATACAGGAATTTAAATATGAGATGCCTAATAATTATCCAAGTGAAAATACTGAATGTTCAGTTGGACCATACATAGGAACTTGGAAAGTCATGGACTAGCCTAGACCTGGGTGTTATCAAAGAATTGATGGCATTTAAAGCCATGGGACTAGATGAATATATTTAGGGCATCAGTGTAAATACAGAAGGGAAGAGATAAGAGTATTGAGTCCCAGGGTAATTCAGTGTTAGTGATCTGGCAGAGAAAGAACCGGCGATGAAAGGAGGCCAGTGATGGCCAACGCTGCGACATGCTCCCAAGAGGCTGAAAGAGAGGAGGACAGAGCACTGGCCACTGGGTTTGGGCAAGACGTCCACCATCTGTGACCCTGATGCATGCAGACCGGTTGGTGGGTGGACTGACAGCTTGATAGAGTGAACCTGGGATGGGAGGTGAGGTACTGAGGACACTGGGGAGATGACTCCTTTGAGGAGTATGTTGTGAGGTGGAGCAGAGACCTTGGAAGAAACTAGAGCACAATGGGGGATTAAGAGGGGCTTTTCATTTTGTTCATGGGATGAATGACTCTAAGGCCTGTTTGTGTGTCTGCATGGCGGTGGGCGTTGGGGCAGACAGGGTGGGGGAGGGCTGACATTCAAAATTGCAGTCTTTGAAATGGGAAGAGGGCCTGGTTTCAAGAACACAGGTGGAGTGGTCGGTCCTCTACAGGAGGGACGGATGATCTGTTGTACCAGCAAGGAGAGAGAATGCACCAGTTGGCACAGACGCCGGGACCCTAGGGGAGGGCAGTGGGTTTCTAGGCCAGTTGCGTGTTCCGCAGTGGCCACCTGTTCTTGTTCATCTCCTGTTGGAACAAGGAGTGTCCGCTCCGTGCCAGGAACTCTTCCAGGTGCAAAGATTCATGACTTGTGGTCACAGCAAATAACACGTGTCCACACCTACATCTCCAGGCATGACATGCCAATGGCAGTGGCGTAAGATTTTAGGGAAGACTCGAGAACAGCCAGCATTAAAATGGCCCTTGGAACCACAGGACATTGGAATGAACTGGCTGGCCAAGGGTATTCCAGGTGGGAGGGCTCCCAGGACTGGAGACAGAGGGGGTGAAGTACCCACCTGGCTCTCCAGCTTCTTCCTGGGGTTTGGCCGGGAGCACCTTTGAGATGCAGCTGTGGAGGGAAGCTAGGGTCCCGCTGCAGCCATGGGCTGGGTCAGCACCACGGAGGCGCAGCCCTCCAGGCTCAGAGGTCGGAGCAGTAAGGATGGAGCCGCCCCTACGGACCGGTCAGGTTCTATTTGTCCGAGCTACCATCCCCCTGCCCGACTCCCCGCACCCATTTCTTTTTATCTGCGACTGAGGGGTGTATGCGCGAGTGTGTTCAAATTCTGGTTCCTCTTTTTTCGTCTGCTTTCTTCTCTCTGCCCTTTTCTGGGCCTCCCTTCTCTTCTCTTCCCCTTTCCTTCCCGCAAACTGTAAAAAACACACGCTCAGTCCTAGACAAACATTAACCCCAGGCAATATTTTCGAGAGGGGAGACAAAGCAGGGGGGGGTGAGAAGAGAGCTGCGAGGGCAGGAAGGGGACAGGCGGGTCTGGGGCGCGTGAGGCCCGCGGGGCCGCCTCGGGGGGGCGCCCTGTCCGCCAGGGGGCGGGAGAGGGCAGGCCCCGACCCGCACAGGGGCTTCCCGCCAGCAACGTCTTCCCCCAGGGTTCGAGCCCGACCTGTGGGGAGAACGAAATAGGGCGCAAAGGAAGCAGAGAGACAGGTCGTCCAGTGAGAAGACTGGGTCTGGGGTCCCCTCTCCTGGGGGCTGCTTTGAGAGCGGAATATTCAGGGAGGGGTACGGGGTGGCCCTAACGTCCGGACCTTAGGGCCTCTCAGTACTGCCGTGTCCCCAGACCCCCGCCACGCTCGCTGCGCGTCCTAGGGGCTGCCCGGGTGCGTAACAGATTAGGGCACGGCTGGGCGTCGGGCTTGGCAAGAGGCCGTGTGGCACGGCCAACCCCAGCCCAAGGTTGGAGGGCCCCCCACCCAGGAATTTTACATCTACATTTTCGCACCATCCGGGTGGGGCTGGATGCCGGAAGCAGGAAAGAACATCTCATGTTTGCAGTGCCCAAGGTACAGAGCCCATAAAAGGGGTTCTAAAACAGTGATGTTACAGAGATGGCATTACTGGTGACACGAGTTTCGTTTTAGACTTCCCTTTACCTGGTAAGGCAGCCCGTCCCCGAAGAAGATTGCGATTCGGATTCCAGGATCCAGGCCAGCCAGTTACTGGCTAAGGGACCTTGGTCAGGTCGCCCAACCCATTCTGAGCCTCCACTGAATTTTCTCTTTAATGCAGAACTTTCCCCCAGTTCTCCCTACCTCTCAGGACACTGGTCTCCATGAGTTAGACGGCCCAATCTTAATCACCTTTTAATTGAGCAGAAACTATAAGGTCTGAGTAAGAGGAGATTCACACACCATAATTAAAGAAGTTTTAAATAATCCCCTTCCCAATAGACGCCTCCCACCCCATGTCTATTCCCAGGGCTAGAGTCAGATGCTTCCAGGCGCACCTCGGGGCAGTTATACGGAGCTTACTATAGGCTAATAATAATAGCAGCATATTGAACGTTTGTTAGCAATAGGGGTTTGCGGTTTAACGATGTGTCTCTAATTCTCATACCATTCAGCACGATGTGTGCCATTACCCTCATTGTACAAATCATGGCCCTGCTTCTTGCCTATCTGAAATCTTGCCCAGCATGAATATTCTAATTCTCTCTTTAGAGAGCTAAGCACAACTATTGGCCAGGACTCAGGAAATAAACCCCGTTAGGACTTAAAATCCCAGGTATCACACCAGGGGTTTCCACTTTTAGGTTTAGGAGAGTCTGAGGGCTATCTTTCTGCAGTCTCTTGGGGATCTACAGTCGGAGAAGGGAAATGAGTCTCAGATGGGGTTGTGGGTGAAGGGGTGAGTGGGCGCTGTTTTCCTAAAAGGATGAAAGCCACTTTCATTCAAAAGGTTGTGGGATTCCGGCTGGAAATGGGTTTCTTTGCGGTTAATAATCTGCAAGGCTCTTAGGATGCCCGATTCCAGAAGCCCAAACTCACACTTAGGGCCACAAAATCCTGGGCAACTATTTGCCAAGTCCCATGGATGTTATCCCATGGACCCTCTCGGCCCATCTCCTTTGGGACAGAAGGAAACCCATTCCGTGGCTTTTTCAGGAAGTCTTCAGGCCCTTGCGTCCGGCCCTCTGCGACATCAAAGCCCCCCTGAGAGCAAAGGACTTTGAAAAGATACGAAATGCTCGGGTTCCTTATCGCGTCCCCGCTCCCTCCCGAGCAAGTCGTAAATTCCGAGCCTCCGCGGCCTCTCCCCTCGGCTCTTCTTGCCCCAAGGTCTCAAAGGACAAACTTGTCACTTCCCGCCCCGCCCCTTGGTTCTGGCCGGGGCCGAATGAAGCGGGGGACGGAGGGGCTCAAGGTTCAGGACATGTTTCAGGGGCGGATGCAAAGGGCACGCCTGCCTCCAGGACACCCCTTGTTGCCCCTCATCACCTGCTGGGGACCCTGCTTCCCTCCCCAGGCCATCTGCGCGGCGGGGTCGGCTTGGCCTGCCCGCGGCCCTGGCCGCCTTCTCCGCTGCACCAGGGGGCGCGGAGCAGGCGCGGGAACGGTCTGTGCGCTGTGCTTCTCCGCAGGTCAAGAGGGCATCCTGCGCTGCCACCCAGACCTGGCGGGCCGCGAGCTGCAGCGGGGCACGCTCACCGCCGAGTCGCAGCGGGAGCAGGCAGGCGCCGGCCTGGCGAGCCTGGGCGCGGGCGAGCGGCTCCGGCTGGCCGAGCTCAACGCGCAGTACCGCGCGCGCTTCGGCTTCCCCTTTGTGCTCGCCGCCCGCCTCCAGGACCGGGCGGCGGTGCCCCGCGAGCTGGCGCGCCGGCTGCACTGCCCGCCCGCGCAGGAGCTGCGCACCGCCCTGGGCGAGGTGAGGAAGATCTGCCGCCTGCGTCTGGCCGACCTCTTCGGTGTCGACCCCGCCAGGCTGTAGCCGCCGCGCGAGCCCGGGAGTCGGGGCTCACGTCGGCATGCGGTGGTCCCCGGGCGGGAGGCCGGCGCAGGCCTGGAACAGCGTCCACACGCGCGCGCAAAGGGGAGAATTGAGACAATCCTACGAATAACGAGCCCCTTTGTCCACCCACCCACCCACACGCGCACGCTTTGCCAGAATAACTGTATAGTTCGTGCTTTGCCCCCAGATTTATCCAGCTCACTGCTTCAATCCTTCTCTCCCTTTGCGTCCCCGTTGACACCGGCAGCCTTTGTGGACCCCAGAGTGCTTATCCAGCTCTTGTTGCCCCCCCCCCCACTCTCTCCTGCTAAGCCCAAGCTGCAAAGCAAAACGGATAGGAAAAGAATATTTTATTCCACAGCGGTTTGTCTGTTTGGTTTTCCTTCTCCCACCTCATTTGTTGCACCCCGACATTTACAAGTGAGCGGAAGCGGCTTTCTCACTCTGGGGCGTCTTTAGCAGCCAGACTAAGGAAAGCAAAGCTCTGGTCTAGGTCCGGGGAAGCCGCCCCGTGGGCAGGCAGAGTGGCTGCTCCCGCCGCTCCTAAGAGAGGAGTGGGACTGGGGGCGTTTCCCAGCAGGAGGAGCCTGAAGGGCAGAGGCCTGGGGCCTCCGGTCTCTCCTGGGGATCGGCCCCTGAGAAGTAGCCCATCAGAACCTCAGATTGCCCCGGGAGACCCTTCAGTCATTTTAAAAAAAATAATAAACAATAATAGTTTAACAATACTCATTGACTGGTACTGGATAGTGTGGCCCTTGGAGGGAGATGGGACCCCACAGCGCTTATAAAAGCAGGTAATGGAGGAAATCGGTGCTCACGGAAATCTTTCTGGCCAGACTAGGCAGCTCTGGGGAGCTTGTCAATCTTGAGGCTCTAGGGCCCCAGTGGACTGGGCACTCCTGACACTGGTGGCCAGAATGTCCAGTTACGCAGGAGGAACCCTCCGCATCCTCTGTCCACCACACAGCCTGGAAGGTCTACCTCACTCCCACAGTTCCTTCTTAGGCTTCTGTTGGCAAAGGAGAAAAAAGCCGTACCTTCCTTCTCAAGGCAGACAAGGCGAGAAGTGAGGGCAGAGTCGCCCTTTTGAGAACAAGAACCTCCATTAGTGACCATCCCGGATCTGGGCTCGTCGCAGCAACTGTAGCAAGAAAGCCTTTCCGTAAAAAGTGTGGCTGCACCCTAGCTGGGGTTGAATTCCACAGAAAGGAGCCACTCTCGCAGCACCAAGAATTTTAGTCAAGGAACCTGGATTCCCTTTCCCATCTTGCAGGTGTTTCCTGCTAGTTGTTAAGAGTGAAAGCCAGAAACGGGAGAGGAGGGTAGTCGGGTGCCAGGGAAGCGAGCTGTGGCCAGCAGCGACCCCGTGGACCACTGCCAGGGTCTCTGCATGGGGCTGTACCAGACCCCTTCTCTGAATGTGGAAGCACCAGGCTCACACCACAAACGGAGCTTGATGACTCAGTTTCTGTGCTCAGGGACCCAGAGGAAATGGTGGGGCCCTTGGGCCTGGGGCTAGACGCCCGACTCCCTTTCACCAGGGTAACTTGGGGGCTTTTCTGACACACAAGAAATCTGCTGTTTGACAAAGAGGGTTTTCTGGCTCAGGATACAATGCCACAGGCTGCATTATTGAGAATAATGCACTATATTCAAAGCATCCTGTCCAACCCTGAGGTGAGACCAGCTCCTCGGTGGGTGAGCCCCCAAATTCAGTCTGGGCTTTTTATGTACATGTGCTCAACCCAGGAGCAGGATTCCCCAGGGCTAAGAGTTCCAGTGGTATTTTTAGAAGGAGTATAGATGTGGTCTGGACCTCTCAGGCACAACCCCGCTGTCTCCAATTACAGTTGCCTTTTAAGGGTTCAAAGCTTGTCGGAAAAATTGTTTATTTCTACAGGAGGGTGTACGGATCGGGGTGGATGCAGGATCCGCCTCTTCAAAGGAACCGGGGGCAAGGGGGGGAGCTGGCTGCTGCTGTGCCTCTGCCGAAGAAGCCTCGACGGCGGGTGCGGGACGCGGGATGTGGGTGCCAGGCTGGGAAGGGTCCTGGCAAAAGCCGGTGGTGGCTCTAGCTGTCTTCTGCGGTAGGAGCAAAGAGACGGAGGCCGGTCCCGAGCGAGCTGATCACCTGCGGCTGCCGAGATCTGGCAGCGCACTTTTCTCCAGCCACATCCTGGCTCAAACTGCGACGTGCCCTGGGCTTCTGCCGGCACGAGCCTGGCAGAGATGTTTTCTCGTGTCCGCGCTTGGGTGCGCAGGATGCGGGGACAAACCGCGACAGGAGGGCCGGCGGTTGCGCGCTTGGACTTCAGCGCGCGCATCAGCCGGAGGCGGGTGTCGGGGGCGCAGAAGTATCTGGTGCAGATTCTAGGGTGAATAATTAATATTTTACTTACTAATTCGTTTTTTTAAAAAAAGCAGGATGGAAACGCTAAGAAGGATTGGAGGGCGAGGAGCTGATTTCAGTTTCCGTACCTCTTCTATCCCTCCATAAGCACTCCCTTCTGAGGTGGGGGCAGCTTCGCTGATCTTCACTTCCCCTTAATTTGTCCAAGGTCAGCCCAGCCCGGTCCCCCGACCCCCAAGGCTCTGAATAAAAGGGATTCCGGAGCGCTCCCGCTAGGAAGTCAAGTCCGATCCGAGCTTGCTATTTACCTATGTAACTGGGAAACCTAAGGGGTGGGGGGCCCTCCTTTTATTTATCCAAAGTAGCAGTTCCTTTGGTTTGTATGCCCAAAAGATGTCCACAGACTCTACTGATATGGGAAGAAGGGAAGGGAGAAAATAGACAACAGCTTCTTTGCACAAGCTTTACTCGTTTTAAATTGGAGACACTTCAGAGATCAGCCACAGCGCACGGGTTCTGATTCAAAAATAAAGAACTCTTTTCAGAAAGTATTGGGGCCAAAGTAGATGGATACCTTCTTTGGCATTTAAAGAAAGATCTGGGGTGGAATTTATGGAAAATTCACTATTCAACAAACTAATAAACCACAGTTAGCAGGTGCTTGTGAAAGGGAGAAATAAATAGGATGTGGAAAGTAGTTAGAACTGTCTGCAACAGCAGAACCTATCTATTTGGCGTGCAGGGTGGGGGGTGGGGAGTTTGGATTCAGGGGAATCACGCTAGTTGGTTTTGTGTTGGGAAGACAGTGTATCCAGGGTGGCACCAGCAGCCTTACTAATAATTAACATCTGTTCTGAGTGCTACGGGTCGCAAAGAATGCACCTTCAATAGCTTACTTTAGCAGTTGGAGCAACCTGCTGTATGACCTTGGGAAAGTCACCCAACCTCTCTGGGTCTCAGATTTCTCCTTTGTAAATTAGAAGGCCTATGGAGACACTAAGTCCCAATGCGCCCACTGACTCAAGGGAAGGTGAACCTTTCTTTACCTGAGCCCCTTCCATCAGCCACATGAAGCCTACTGCGTAGGGCTACGTAGGAACAAATTTTCATATGATAAGCAAAGGTCACTGTAGCAGGAGACGTTGATGAGTGAACACATGGTAGCTGAAGGCCCTCCACATCAAAATCAAGTGAGGACGGTCAGCTGCTGCCGGCCTGAAAGCCTGATTCTCCCAGCATCAAGGCTTTTCCTCTAGCATGCGTCCCAAGAGGGGACTTTAAATCATTATCTGTGATCATCCATCACTCAGAATCAGAGTGCATTATACAATACCCACACAGAGGCCACAGATTCTGATTTCAGAAGAGAGTGGGCAACCATCATTTATTTGCAGAATTTTCACCCAATGAGCAAAATCACGTTTCTCCCCCTCACCTGAAGCTCTTTATTTTCCTAGATCTGTTGGTGTTGAGAATCAATTTTGGGATAGAAAAGCAGAAAGAAAAAAAAAAAACCCTTGCCTTGGATTGGAAAGGTTGGTGTTCCCTCCAGGAGAGGAGCAAAGCAGCTGTTGCCGCACTCTCCTGCACCCCAGTCCCTGAGAGCTAAAACTCAGTTCATCAATGACCTCCCGCAAAGTCAGCACCTTTTCCCCAGGTAGAGAGGACCAAACACTCAGTTTGCTTGCGGGGGGACCATTCTTGTCTGCATGGGGCAGGGACACAGCTGCTCCTGCAAATGAAGCCTGGGCAGCTGTGGACAGCTGCGACTCCTCCCTGCTATCAAAATGAACACGCTGGGCTCCATTGTGGTCTGATGGGCTGCACGGGCGATGGACTCTGGGGAGGCCCCACAGAAAGGACACTGGGATCGATTGCCTTGCAGTAGATGTTAGCTGAGTGGGCTATGGCAGCGCAGGGTGGGGTCGCTGGGGTCAAACATCCCATTGCTGAACCTCCCTTTGTGTGAGGGGATTGCTGATTGAGTGCAATGGCTGGGGAACTTCCTAAACTCCAAATGAAGTAGGGATTGAGTCGTTATTCCACAGCAGTGTAGATTGCCTAGCTGAGCAATTTTATCAGATGACATTCTCTTCCTTCTCAGTCTTCCTTAATTATCCTGGGAATTCAGGTCGCTGTAGGGCAAGGGTTTTCTATGCAGGGGAAGGAGAGGGAGTCTGGAAGGGCTGCACTATTTGGATAACTTCCTTGACCTAAAGGAGATTCAGAAAGTAGACTTCCATGTTAAAGTGGATAGTGATGGCCTGTTCTATCTGAGTACAAGGGTCACAGGGGCCCCAGTTTCCACAAATATGGGGGAAAGCAGGTCCCCCAAGCTGGAACAAACACCGGGGACCTTTGAGCAGGGAGGGAGCCTTGTCAATGATCTGTGGATCTGAGGAGTGTCTCATCAGCCTAGAGGAGCAGCCTGCCCCTTCTGGGGCCTCCTGCACCCACCCCCTGTGCCCCTGCTCTTGCCCCAAGCGGGGATCCTGGAAGCCCTGACCCTCTCTGAGGAGTTGGATAGCCTCTACACCAGCATCAGTAACAAGGAGACATCCCTTTGACAGACAAGTTGTGGCTGCCTCTCTAGTCTTCCTGACCTACTTGGGTCACTTTCTTCCCACCCTCTCCTGCCCTTAAAAGCCTCCTTGAGCTCTGGCTTCTGGGGTCACAGCTTCAGCCACAGCCCAACTCCAGCCCAAGCTTCCCAAACAAGTTTGTCTCCTTCAGAGCGATTTGCTGAAGGCTTCTCTGGTGGGGCAGCTGGTTGGAGATCAGCGGCACTGGCAGGAAGGGAGCCTTGAGCAGCGGGGGTTGGGGACAACCATCTGAGTCATTTTCAGTTCAGACCAAAAGGTTCCAAGAAAGCCGCCAAGCACCTTGGGTCTAGGACTGAGGAAGCTCTGCTTGGGGCCCCGTTGCAATGGCACCTGCATCTTCCCAAGGCCACACACCTGCTCCCAGGAGCTGGAGGGGCTGCCTAGTCCAGAGCAGGCCTCCAGGGATAGGCGCCCTGGAGGACAACTGGGGCTAAGCCTTCAGAATGAAAAAAGGCCCTCTGGCACCCCTCCTCCCATCCAGCCAGTTCCACCCAACCCTGCACCTGTGGGACCCAGACAGGCCCTCTCTCAGCTCAGAGAGCAACCTGGATGTGAGGTGAGAGTTCCACTTCAAGGAGTTTGTCCAAGGACATTATGATTGTCTCCTTTCCCCTCACCAGACAGCTCGGACCCCAGCACCACGGGGCAGGGCCGTGCGCCAGCGTGGGAGCCCATTTTTCCATGAAGGAAACCCATTGATCTTCACAATGATTTCCTTTCTCCAGCCCTGGCACCCAAGTAAGCATCAGGCCTCCCTGCAATCCAGCCAGCTCTAGGGCCTGGTGTGACCCCTGGGGACAGAACAACCCTGGCTACGCTCAAAGCATTTGGGCGGGCAGGCTGGAGCCCTTTCTCTGGGGAAGAGCACAGAGACACAGCTGGAAAACCGGGACAATTAGCCACCGGCCGGCGGCCAGGCCATAAAAACGCAGGAAGCGGCCACCACAGGGCGGAGGGGATGGCTGTCCCCAATAAAGTGATTGTTCCAAAGAATGCCCACATTCCGAAGACACAGGCTCAAGCCTGGGCCCGGCTTCCAAAGCTTGAGGCTTTGGAGGGGGATGTGGGGGACGGAAGGAGGGATTGTGTCTCCAGGAAGAGGAGGAAGATGTTTGCTAGATCAAAAGTCTGCAGTACCCACCACTTAACCTCCCACATTCCTGCCCATCAGTACTGCAAACCCTTCCCTTTACTCCCCACCCCCAACCCAGTGATTTGGCTTCTGTAATGGGGTTTGCAATTGATTTCCTATTTCATCTCTCAGGATGCCCAATGACACTCAGCTGTCAGGGCCAGGCCTGGGCGATCCACATGGACCTGCTCTGGTCTCTCACCTCCTGAGTGTTCAGCTCATTGCCTGCCCCTTCCCCCCGGGCCCCCATTTCAACCTTCTTCCATACGAAACACAAAAGATGGGAGAGACAGCCAGCAGGAGATCCTGCAGCCCCAGTTAGTTCTGGGCTAGTTGCTTGGGCCTGGTCTCTGTGTTGTGCAGCGTGGTGGCTGTCATCTGTGACCTGGAGAGGATGACACCAGCTTTGTTCCCTGTCTGGGGAGAGGTGAGGATCAAGGGATGTAAAGGACCCTGGAAAGAGCTCCAGAGATGACAAAGGTGAAGTGACAAACACCAGAGAGTGCTTGACAGTGAGAGCCGACAAGCGCAGAGCAGAAGAGCAGAAGGGCCCCTCTGGTTCTGAAAGGGCTGAAACCACCCAGTCAGTCTGCCCAGCCCACCCAACCCGCGGATGTGACCCCAAGTCCTAGTCTGGCAGAGCTGTCTGGGCCCAGAGAGAAGGTAGATAGGGACCCAGGGCCCACTTCCCATGGTGGCTAAATGGAGACAGGAGCAGGCGGGAGCTGAATCATGTAGCCTTGCGCTTCTGTTGGCATAGTGCGGAGCCAGGCTGCGTAGGTCCCCATAGCTGCCACTTCCCGGCCCTGGGCCCCTGGGACACTGTGCCTCAAAAACCAAGGGGGATCCTTCCTCTACTCTTCCCACTTTTCAGAAGCAGTCATAATGGCCCGGGGCTCCCTTCCCATGCCCTGGAGAGGAAAACCAATGTTCTCCATAAAGGAGAAAGAGCTTTTGAGACATAGGTATGATGTATGATACGTTAGCAGAAATTCTAGGCTCTCTTTTCCACAATTTTAACTACTTATTTAAGTATAATAAATATGGAAGCGTGGCTTGCTGAATTTTCATGAACAGCTTATGTATCACCAGCTCCTTACTCAAGCAACAGAATATCACTAGCGCCCTAGCAAGCGCCTCCCGCTCCCCTCCACGTCTGCCTCTTCTGGCCGGACTTCCACCTCAAATCTCCTTGGTTTGACTTTTGAGTACCTGAATATAAATGCTTTAAAAGAATTAATTGCTTTCATTTCATGTAAATTCCAAATGTTAGATGAACTCGGAGATGCAGCCTGAAGCTAGGTCATAGTTACGTTGTGCGGAGGGCAATAGGTTTCCTTGGGGAAGAAAGTAAATGATTAGCGGTGACAGTTGTTTGGGCGCGCGGTCATTGTGGCCAGGGGCGCAGAGCGGGAAGGAACCTGCCCATCTCCTAAGGTTCATCTCATCACCTCTTGGGTGGGTCAGTAACACTGTCCTCAAAGCAATGGCTTCCCCTTTCTCCTGGGATAGAAGGAGCCTCTTGACCGCCCCCCGGCCTTTCTCTGCAAATGCATAAACACAACTCCTTAGTCTCCAAGCCCAGATTCCCACCAAGATAGCGCTTCCCACCCCCTCTTTTGCAAGTCTCTTGATTTCATTCTTTGAACCTGTGATTGGAGGTTAAAGTGCACCAGGTTGGAAGAAGGAAGCTCTTAACAATAAAGGTTTGAATATTTAGCTGTGATCGGGTCGCGGCCCTCTCGCGAGTCCCCCCCCCCTTATCTTTTAAAATGCAAATCACGTTTGGGGGGTTGTGCTGCAGGGTGAGCGCTGCGCCTCGACGTCTCCGGCCATTGGTGTCTGTGTCATTACTAATAGAGTCTTGTAAACACTCGTTAATCACGTAAGGCCGTCGGCCTGGGGCTCCGCACGCCAGCCTGTGGCGGGTCTTCCCCGCCTCTGCAGCCTAGTGGGGAGGAGGTGGGAGGAAAGAAGGAAGAAAGGGAGGGAGGGAGGCGGGAGGGAGGAAGGAGGCAGGCCCGAGGGAGGGACCGCCTCAGAGGCAGACGCGCCGCCAAGAGCCTGCGGAGCTCCGCGGGCCGGGGCGCAGCCACCCGCCGCTCGGCGCGCCCGCTGGCCCCTTCCCCTCGCACCCCCCGGCAGCCTCCAGTGTCCGTCCCCAGGCAGCATGGTGAGGTTTGCTGTGGGGCCCTCGCCACCATGTACGTGAGCTACCTCCTGGACAAGGACGTGAGCATGTACCCCAGCTCCGTGCGCCACTCCGGCGGCCTCAACCTGGCCCCGCAGAACTTCGTCAGCCCCCCGCAGTACCCGGACTACGGCGGCTACCATGTGGCGGCCGCGGCGGCCGCGGCAGCGAACTTGGACAGCGCGCAGTCCCCGGGGCCGTCCTGGCCTGCCGCGTACGGCGCCCCGCTCCGCGAGGACTGGAACGGCTACGCGCCGGGGGGCGCCGCGGCCGCCGCCAACGCTGTGGCGCACGGCCTCAACGGGGGCTCCCCGGCCGCCGCCATGGGCTACAGCGGCCCGGCCGACTACCACCCGCACCACCACCCGCACCACCACCCGCACCATCCGGCCGCCGCGCCGTCCTGCGCCTCGGGCTTGCTGCAGACGTTGAACCCCGGCCCTCCCGGGCCCGCCGCCACCGCCGCCGCCGAGCAGCTGTCCCCCGGCGGCCAGCGGCGGAGCCTGTGCGAGTGGATGCGGAAGCCCGCGCAGCCGCCCCTCGGCAGCCAAGGTGAGCGCGGCGGCGGCGCCCCGCGGGAGGGCGCCCGGGAGGAGGACCCGGCGCGGTGGGGGAGCTGCGCGCCGGGGGCGGGCCGGGGGAACGTCCAGGGGCGCCGGCCCGCGGGCCTTTCGCTACAGCGGCGGGCGGGAGGGCAGATCTGGGCCACCCAGCCGGGTTCAGTTTAGGGCAGGGGAGAGGCCCCTTTCCGACGGTTCCTCATTCATACCGCCCGAACCCTCTGGGAAGCGGCCGGAATGCCGGCGCGGCTGTGCGCGAGGGCGCCTAGGCGCGTCCTTCCAATCTTCCAGCCGCCGGGGAGAGGGACTTTCAACCCCACCCGCCGGCCTCCAGACCGTTTCTCTCCACGCCCTCCTTGCTCATTTGAGCCACTGACGGAGAGTGGTGGCCTGGGGGGACCGGGAGGCCGGTGAGGCTGCGCGTGGGGCCAGGTTTGGCCATTCCGGCCAAATGAAGGGATCCAAGCCACAGCGAGGAGGGAGGCCGGGCAAGGCTGCTCTAGCTGGAAGGAAGGTGTAGGGCCCAGGAGCTAAGGGGAAGGGGGTGCGTCACGCTCTTTGAACCTTTGATCTGCAACGGGGTTATTTCAGCCGACAGCACGAGGCGAGGGGCAGAAGCTGTGGGAGTCCTCTCGTGTCTGCAGAGGAAGAAAGGGAGGAATCCTTGGAGGAGGGGGAATTCAGCGGCTGCTCCAGGACAGGCTTCATTCATTTCTATCGAACCTTCCTTTCAAGGGTCTGGGGGTTGTGTGGGGGGGCAGGGGTGTACAAACACTTATACGTTCAAGAAGCTTGCTCACGAGATGTCCCTTCAAAGACCCTAGGTTTGCTGGACTATGGGGGCCCGTTGGTTCCGGGTCTGAGCCTTCTGGTGTCGGGCTGTGTGTCAAGGTGGGAAGACAGGCGCTGGGTGTGGCGGGGAGAGTGCTGTTGGCCTCCCCTTTTTACTACATTAGGTCTTTTCCCAGCTCTCGGCACTTCCGCTTTTTTCTCTTCCCTCCTTTTTAGCCCAGCCCGGCCCGCATGCAGGTTATGACCACTTTGCAGAGGTTTATGGCCAATTACAGCCGTATAAATCAGGGTAGCCATTGGGGGCTGTCTCTGGGCATCGTTTTTTTTTTTTTCGTCACTGGGCACATGTCGGGGATCGTGAGGGTAGAAAACGCGGCCGCCCAGGCAGAAGGCCACAGGGCCAACCTCGGAACCTCGGCTCGGTCCCTTCCCCGAGAGGAGGCGCCCTTGTCCGAACAGAGCGCGGTCCCAAAGAAGGCTCCCTTGCACCGAATCTGCCTGGGGCGCAAGTGGCGGGAGGCAGGGGGCCGTCGGAGACCGCTGGCGTGTCCTGAGAGCGGCTGCGGGGCCGGGACCGGGGCGGGGGGAGGAGAGCCGTAGGAGCCCGGGCCGCGGGGTCAGCAGATGAGAGGCCGCTGTGAAGTCCCGCGCCGAGGTGGCAAGGCCGCAGTCGGCGCCGGGCGCCCTTGTGATGTTAATGTGGGGAGGCCGCGGCCCGCGAGCCGGTGCCCGACTCCTCTGCGGAGCGTCATCTGTCAAGGGGCGAGGTGGGGGAGGTACTGGGCCCGGCCCGCTTTGATATACACCTTCCCAGCCCTGCCATTGTCTCTTTTAGGGCCCGGAAAGAGGGTGGTGACTTTTCGCAGTCAATAATGAATTCTGACAGGTCTCTCTCATCTCTTCCCTCCTCCAGTCCTCTCTGGTTCCCAGGGGGTGTGGGGCGCCTCCAGGGCCCTTGGGGCGCGCGCCGCCGAGCGCACTTGGGGTCCTGGTCATTCGGTTTCCCCCTCCGTCCGGGATCCTGAAAGGGCCGCACTCCAGCAAGAGCCGCTCCCAAGCACCCTGAGGCGTGTGTCGCTGCTGGGAGCCGGGCTCCGAGAACTCTGCGCCCTGGTCCCGGGCCCTGGAGGTGTCCTCTGCGGCTCCAGCCTGGCTCCTCTGCCAGCCCCGCCTCAGGCTATCTGCCTCACCTAGTCGGATTCCCAGTTTCCTCATCCATAAAAAGGGAGCACTGCCTCCCGCAGCCTCGGGTGGGTTTGAGACGGTAACGCGTGTGAACGCGCCCATCGCTTAGAAAGCTCCCAGGACGTGTTAGTTTCCTCTGCGTTCTTAGCAGGCGCGGGGTCCGGGCCGCAGCGCCCATTCAAATGCGCCTGCCTGGCCGTGTTTATGTTAATGCGCCTGGCGGGGAGGGGATGAAAGCCGGGGCCGCCATTTGCTCAGTAGTGGTAATTCAAACAGAATGCGGTTGTTATTAAGGCATTGAAAGGGCTTTTCTTTGATAAGATCGCCTTGTCCTGCATTGTTTGCGACTGTGTTCCCCTTTCAGCGGCTCCGGGGAACTCTCTCTGATCCGGCCTGTATCTTCCCAGGGCGCTTTTGTTGTGGTTTGCAAAGGGTTTTACCTGAACAAAGTCGGCCTGCGGGGCATTAAACACCTCCAAGCAACTCCCAGACCCTTTAGATCTTCCTCTAGGATGGGGCACTGGGCGATGGAACCTGTTCTGCTGCAAGAAGACCCTGACCTGGGGCCCACCGGGAGAGCACAGCTCCTGGCCAGGGCTCTGCGTACGGGTGACCCACGAGAGACCCGGTGGAGACGCCAGGCCCCGGCCAGCTCCAACTGCGTCGTTTCTATTTGTCAAGGCCCTTCAGTAAAACAATCAATCCGAGGTTTAATATGTTGACTCAATCCAATGAGCATAGATCACTGGTCGGGGTAGCTCTGGCAGAGTTTACAGCAGGAATAAATGGGGGATTAAAAACAAAAAGTGCCGAATGCCAAACTAGGTTGGGGCAGCCAGACCCCAGCTCAGAATTCCAGCGGACAGGCCTGATGGGCCTGGGCATGAATCTGGTGGTTTGAGGGAACCTGTCAGCTCCCTGTACACCCTTTACACTTTGAATACAGCAAACAGAAAGTAACTCCTTCGCAACACATACTCACCGTCCCAGCTATAAGGCTGACCTCCCATTTCTGCTGGACCCGAGAACCTGAGTATTCCTGGGACTCTGCCCCTTTCCCTTTAGTTCCAGCCAGCTCTCTTGTGCTATATTTGGCCTACCAAAAAGATGCTTGCGTTCTGCTATCTTCTGTGTGTATGAGGTCTTAGTTTTTCTTAACTTTTAAAAACCATTTAACCTGAAGGTTAGTTTAGTTGTCCGGAACAGCCCCACACCCTCCCTCTGCAGTACCCTCTGGGGGGTCTTGTCAGACACAGCAGGAACCAGCCAAACCCCGGCCCCCCAGGGTGGTGGAGGAAGAGAAATGACCCCTGGGTTAGGGAGGTTTGTCATTACCCATGACTGATGGGCTGCCTTGCAGTTCTCAGCCCTACCTTCTCCTTCCTCCACAGTGAAAACCAGGACAAAAGACAAATACCGAGTCGTGTACACGGATCACCAGCGGCTGGAGCTGGAGAAGGAGTTTCACTACAGTCGCTACATCACCATCCGGAGGAAAGCTGAGCTGGCTGCCACGCTGGGGCTCTCTGAGAGGCAGGTGGGAACCGGCCGGCTCCGTCCTAAGCCTGGTTACTGCCTGGGGTTGCCCCATGGGAAGAGTTAGAAGCCAGGCGCCCCAGAATCCACCTAGTTCTGTGGGCAGGTTAAAGCAGGAGGGTGGAGAGTATTTCCCTTGCGAATACTTTTTTAAAAAGGTTTCTTTCACCTCTAGTTGTTTTTTTCTTAATTTGATTTATTTTTTTCTGTGGGATCGGGGAGATGCAAGAAAAAACAGTATCAGTTTAATCCAGAATTCCATTTGGGTCAATAAAAACTTATTTGACCTATTCTCTGTGCATAGCATGGTATCTGGGGGGGAAAAGTTATGTAAGACCCAAATCCCTGCCCATAAAACTAGAGGGAGAGGCTTGGCTCATGAACACTTTATGTGGTCTAGAAAAAACAGGGCAAATTCACAGCCAGGAAGCTCCACATTAAATCTCATTCTCAGGTCCAAGGTGAGAAATATTATATTTCAGTTCAGCTTTGAGGGGCCAAAGGTTTTCATTTTGAAGTACACGGAGCACTGGCCGCTTCTTGCTTGGTGGAGAAAGGCCCTGGCCATTTTTTTCCTTGATTCTGACACTGCACCTTTCCAGTCAAGTTGTAGGTAAAGGTTTCTTTGGGGGAAAACCTGTGGAGCCCGGAGGACAGAAGGCTCTTCCCCCACAAGGCTGAATTGGGCTTGGATTTGAGCTGTTACAGCAGCATGGAGGGACAGGCTTTGAGAGGGGTTTGGGGTCCTTTCCTTAGAGAAGGCACGTCTTTAGTCGGAGAGGGAGATATTGGTGCTAGTGCTGAATACCGTTCCCTTTTTCCCCCTCACATCTTTTTCTCCATTACCTGTTTTTCTCCACTTCTCCATTTCTAGGTTAAAATTTGGTTTCAGAACCGGAGAGCAAAGGAAAGGAAAATCAACAAGAAGAAGCTACAGCAGCAGCCACCGCCGCCGCCCTCTGCACCCACGCAGCCGCCTGCCCAACCACAGCCAGGTCCTCTGAGAAGTGTGCCGGAGCCCCTGAGTCCCGTGTCTTCCCTGCAAGGCTCGGTGCCCGGCAATGTCCCTGGGGTTCTGGGGCCAACTGGGGGGGTATTAAACCCCACTGTCACCCAGTGACCTACAGTGGCCTACAGCAGCAGAGCAATTCCAGGTTGAGCCATGAGGAGCGTGGACTCTGCTAGAATCCTCAGAAGACACCCCTCCCCTCCCACCCACAAATGTGCACCAATTTACTAGCTCTCCGAGGAAAAATGGGGGTTAGGAGTAAAGACAAGTGGGTTTGGAGGCCTCAAGGAAGACATTCTCCCATATTTTGACATTTTCTGGTCTGACTCTGCCAGCGAGGAGACAGGAAGTGGTCATGGGGGCTTCATTTAGTCCTGGCAGAAGCCTTGCCTGGCCTGGCTGAACAGACCTAGGCTTTCAGCCCCCTCCTTCCCTACTCTTTGCCTCCAAAATCTGCAGCGTGCACCTCTGCTTGGAGCTGAGGGGAGAGGGACTCGGGGGAACACCAGTGCTGGGAGTCAAGATGACCTACTGCACTGCCGTCCAAGGACTAGCTGGCCCCTCCTGCCTCAAGGGCAGGCAAGATTTAAACTGCAGAAGCCAGAGGCAGCTAAGATAGAAACCTGGACCCACTGAAGACTGCAGAACCCCCAGGCCTTTGTCTTTCTCCTCTTCCCTTCCCAGACCAGGAAAGCCTTGGCTGGTGCATGTGCCGTGTATGGCATGAGGCGGGGTGGTTTTGGTCTCCAGGCCTGACAGGGGCCCAGGACAGAGGGCCTTGTTTAGAAAACCTGTCACCAGGGCTTCTCTGGGATGAATGTATGTCCGTGCTGTAAATGCCAGAGCCAACCTGGACTTCCTGTCATTCTCACAGTCTTGGGGCTGATGAAGAAGGGACGTTTTTGTTTTGCTGCTGCTGTTTGGGTTGTTTGTTGGTCTGTAGAACATCCAAGCCAGCATTTAAAACGCCTTCTGGATCCATGGGGAGAGAAGTGATATGGTGAAGGGACATGGGGGGGTACTTGAACACAGCTGAATTTTTTCTAAAGAGAAAAAAAGATAAATAGAGCTTTCCAGATTTCAGATTCTGTATTTATCATCAGATTTTGTCTGGAATTATTATTTTTTTAAGAAATGAAATATCTTCTCTATTTGCAAGCTAGAATTAGAAAATCATGGAGGGGGTGGAAAGGTTATCTGGACAACCTCATTTTACCCCAGAGCGTCAGAAGCCTGAGGGAGCTGCTTTTGAGACCTTCCCTGCCCCCAAGCCTGAGCCCAGCCTTGGACTGTGGAATGTGTGGTTCTCCTGGGGGTGCCTTTGGGCAAAATGTACATCTGAACCGTCAGCTGCTTCCCAGATACCTGGAATTCTGGGGGATGGGGTGAGAGAGCCCCTTCATAGCATCCCGTCAAATCCGCACTGCTGCAATGACAAACCCTTCATTAGTGATTCCCTTCTCCCGAGGGATGCCCCACAGCCCAGCTAGTTGAACATAAAATAAGCATTAAGTAAAAATATTTTCTGTTTTCCCGAAGCAACATTTCCATGAATATAGTCCGTGAGTCACTGGTCATTTCCAGGGGCCCTTACTGCCTCCGCCCTGTGCCCTGCCCCACGCGGCGTCCTTGCCCCATTCTCCCTCCCACCTACCCTCAGACGAGAATTCAAGAACCAGTATAGTGATGGCTTGTTGTTATCTGCCTGATCCTCTGGGGACCCGGCTGACGTCCTTGAGATTTTTGGTCCTGGAGGCCAATGAGCTAGGCGCTGTCGGCAGGCCCTTGGGAGAAGGGCTTCGCCCTCCATTTCGGTTTTCCCACGAGCACCTTTGAGCCCTAATCGTGGCCTCCACACAGGGAAGAGGTGCCCCGAGGGCTGGGGAGGACAGCCGAGCTGGGCGACAGGAACAGCCCCTGCAGCAGCTCCCCGGTGCCGCGGCTCTTCCGGGGGCGCATTCCGCTCCGGGATTGAGAAAGGGACTCCGGCGGCCGGGCCGCGGGCGCCCAGCCTGACGGCGGGAGAGACCGTGCACCGTCCCCGGAGGGGCGGAGGCTTCCTGGGGAAGCCGAGATGGGGCGGGCTGGGCGCTGGGTTCCATCTCGCGGCGGCGGTGAGGCCGCGTCCTCGCGGGCTGTCCCGGCGCCGGGAGGGGAGCGGAGCCCCGCGCCCAGCCGCGCCCACGCGCCCGCCCCCAGCCGCCGCCGCCGTTGCTATGCGTTGCCGTGAAACGCCTGTCAATAAACGCTGTTTGGACAGCGGAGCGAGAGCACAAGGGTTGTTTGCTTAATGGTTAGAGGTTCAAAAGTCGGCATTGTCCCTCCGCAGGCGATTACAAGTTCTTCCCCTTCCCGGGGCTCGGGCCCCTGCCCTGCTGCCCGCCGCGGGCCCGCGCGCGGCGCGCCTCCGGGGCGAGGAAGGGAGCCCGGCCGCCCTCTGAAATGCAAGGACCCTGCTCGGCTGCCAGCTGCCTGCCCATCTCTCTGGCCGCCCAGGAGGCAAGATCTGGGGGCTCTTGACGGCAAGGGAGGCCACTCCGCTTCCAACACCGAGGCAGCGCCCCGGGAGCAAACCCGAGGGACACGGGGACATGGCGCAAGTGGGCAGTGCAGCCTGAGCAGAAGTTTAGCGGGATCGGCGCTGAGACTCCCGGGTTTATTTTTAAAGGGTGACTTCGAGACTCCGAGCGCCTCCGACGCTGGGCTGGGTGGGTGGGCGGCGGGGAATCCCTCGGCCCTATGCTTAGCTCTGGCCGCCAGGGGGCGCGCGCGCTCCGGGAAGAACTGGGGCCGGGGCGCGCGCCTCTCCGGCTCTGGAGCGCACCCGGAAAAGAACGCGGCGCCCACCCAGCTGGAAGGCGGCAAGCTCTGGCGCCGCTCTCATGCCGGCTGCTCCCAAACTGGGCCGAGGCGAGATTTCACTACGGCCGTGGGCCTGTCGAAAACAAGTTCAAGCTAAGTCAGGCTCAGGAGATTCTTGGATCTGTTGAATGTTTAAGAAAATCAAATTTGGGGGAGGGGAGCTATCCACCATTCTAGAAGGGTCTTTTTGCACAAAATGTTTCTTTAAAAAATTACAGTAATATGGGTACGATATTAATATATGGAAAGACTGAGAATTTAGGATAAACATAGGGAAAAATGTACCAGTATTGTGGAACTCATGTCAAGATAGGTTCATATGGAAAGAAAACAGCCTGAATCTTTTTTTTTTTTCTTATGAACAATTCCTGGCTTTGTCATATTCATACAATAAAATTAACAAGGTGGACTGCTAATAAAGGCAATGAAAGTTTCAATGAGTTTCACTTCTTGTAACATCTAGTAAGATGCCTATTCAATACAAATCTAAATACGTAAACAGCAATATTCTCCCTACTCGCTATTGCTATTCACAACCACTCTGAAAAATATTAAGACAGCAACAAAGCAGAAATAAAGAATTCTCAGCTATAGAATTTTAAGATTATATATATATTAGGGGCACTATTTGCACAAGTTTAGGGACAGGCATTTACCATTTAAATGACCTTAGGGAGATGACAACCATTTCCTCATCTGTCATGGGGATCCAATGAAGTGAAGAAAGCCAATGCAAGGTACAGCATACACTTAGAATTAGACTCCAATAATGACATGAACTGCTGCTTTTTTTTTTATCATGAACTATCTTCTGCAAAGTGGTCAAGGGTCCTTACAAAAAACGTTTGAACAAGAAGAATTTCTCAAATCATGGTAGGAAAACCCTTTCCCAGAAAATTTTCTAGTGCACTCAGCTTTGCTTAACTTGTTAAAATATCCCCCAGGCTGTTGTCTCTTGATTTCACCGTCCAGACGACTGCACAAAATCTCAGGTGGCAAAGTACTAACCTTCCATATGTGAAAGTGAGTTACTGATCTGCGTAGCTTATTTGTTCTTTCATTCATCAGAAAAAAATATTTCCATACACTTTTGGTTGTATTTAGGAGAGTCAAGCTGAGGAGGTAGTTGAGAATCCCCTTATAATTGAGCAGGTTGCTTTTAACTCAAAAGGGGCAGAGAAACAGATACTCTAATTATATGGCATCAAATATTTTGGAACAATTTCCATCCCAACATTTCAGTATCAATTCTTCAGGGAGCCACCCCAAACAGCAGCTGTGGATTTAATTTTTAAAGCCTTATCCATCCCTTCAAGGCAGCTTTAAGGCAAACATTTGACTCTAATCCTCGTGACTTTACATTCAAACTACAGCAACGGACCTTGTGTTAAATAAGTTTTGCTTTGGAGGAAAACATTCTTATCCTGTAGGTAATAATAGTAATGGAGATTAACTTGTAAATATTTAAAATGCACATTTAAATTATTTTCTTAAACCACATTTAGACTATACAAAATTGCAATTCTCGTAATTCTTAGATTTAGTCATTTTATTCCCTTGACCTTTTTTCTTTCATCTCTTACTCTCTTAATACAAGAGGATGACTAGGATTTTAGGAAAAGCAGGTTTGTACTGATGACTGTTGGATGAGCTGAGTGATTCTGAGCCAAAACAATTACTAAATGTCATCTTTACTTAGCTACAAACCAAAGGGAATATATTCTCCTTGTCTCATTACTTTCTTGAAGGTTATGAAACTAGATCTAGGGGGAAAAATCCTCAAATTCCAAACAAGGAAAGCAGAATCTGTCAATTCCAGAGATTGTACTAACATTTACCTTGACATTCTTCTTGGAGAAGAATCAGTTTAGAGAAGTTGGGGCAAGTGCATAGGTGACCCTTTGGTTATTAGGTCTCTACTACCCAAACATTACATTTGTTTTAACAACAGCTTTTCCAAACTGGAATTGTCATTAACCTCAGTGGATATAGATAATGTCAACTAAGTTGCCAGAGCCCCAAAGTTAAATGAACAGTTTGTTCTTCTTTTCTGCAGGATCCTGGTGATTCTAGCTAGAGATCTAATCCATAAACTACAACACAATCAGTTTTGATCCATGAAGAGCTCCCTGTGATTAAATGATAGCCAGACCATCCCATCCCTTCACACACACACACACACACACACACACACACACACACACACACACACACTTAAGAAATTTACACATTTGCTTTAAAATAGTATTCAGATCAAGTTTATGCATCTAGTGTTTTATTGATAAATAGGAACCCAGGTATTTCATGCATTTTAGTATTTATGTTTTAATTTCTAGGAAAGGAATTATTTTCTAATTGTTAATGTGTTATCTCAGAACTTTCAAGATTGACAGTCTGCTATCACAACACTTTGTATCTGCAGTATGACATGAGTAAGTTTTACACGAGTGGTAGTTGATAAATTCCTCTCCAACCTCAGGAAAGCAAACAATGAAAAACAATGTAGGAGCTAAAGTCATTGTAGTACAAACATACAATGGCTTGTTGTGTGACACTTAAACGATTTGAATTTATTGGCGATTAGTAGGATTAGCGATTAGTAAAATTAGAATGAGAAGATTAAGTACCTGAACCACAGATTAGAAGTTGTTAAAAATGACCTGGGCAGGCTCTTTTACTCATGAAAGACAATGTATTGTTCCTTCACGCTGTGTATTTAGTGTATTAAAAACATCAACTACAACAAAAGTTAACAGGACTAGATTCTATTTTTAGTGCCTCCCACCCCGTTTTCTAGGCAGAATTTTGGTAGTGTGTATGTGAATTGCCAGAAACAAACAGAAGACATAATTAAGCAAGAATCAGAGACTGTTGTCTAATAAATAGCAACAGCAGGAATCATCCAGAAAGAACAGAAAGAAGACTGCTTGTGTGGGACCCACACATACAAAAAAGAAAAAAAAATTCCTCCTCAAACCACTTTATTGAAAATCATGCAAATTCCAGAAATCCAAATTTCTCTAATCCTATTCATTTGTTCCTATTACAGTTTCCATCATGCTTATGTCATATAACCATCTTCATACTTTCAGGTATCTGTTAGTGATCTATTGTTAGATACATTAGACGCTAATTCAGAATGACAGTTCTTGGTTCTGATCTTAAGGCAACAGAAAACCTACAGTCAACATTTCCCCCCTCATTTCTAGTTTGTCTTGAATGTACATCCAGTGCTGTGTTTGCAGCTCTTGGGTGTACACTGGGCCAGAACTCAGAGCTAAACGGCCAAATGACCGAGAGATCGTGCCATCTGAAACTGCTCAGTGAGCAAATTTTTAGACGGACTTCATATTACTGAATAACGCTGGACGCTAAAGCCAGAGAAAACAGACAAGAAGCAAGCAGTTTCCCTAGTGAGAACCTTTAGTTTTTTCCCACCTCCCTCCTCTACCTCAGAGTCGATCTGGATTTGAATATTTGAATACTTCAGGCAGAAGGAGCTGAACTGCTCACACCCAAAAAGGTCAGGTGTCCAAAATAGGCTTGGGCAGCACTGGGCCTGGATCTAGGCATCTGTGCATGGCCCCAGCCATTGGGGGAGATACAGCTCAGGTAGCGGCGACCTTGCCCCGTCCCCGGGGGCGAGATCACCGAGTCCG